CCCGCCCCGCCGCTGCCGCCGCTCTGCGCATGCGCGGACGCCCCCTCGCTCGGGCCCGTTTCCAGCCGTTCGGGTGCATTAGCAGGAGCGGGCGGTAGCGTCGGAAGTGACGCCGTCGCCCTGGCCTGGCAACCGTTACCGGGGTAACGGGGAGGCGCGCGCGCGGCGAAGGACGAGGCCGCCCCGTCGCCTCAGGGCGCTGCCGGTCGAGCGGGGGCGGCCCCCGGCGGGCCTGGCCGGCGGTGGGGACCCGGCCGCCTCCCCCCGTAGTCTCTGTGAGGGGCCGGACCTTCCTTCGTAGGCCGCGGGGCGCTCCCCGCCCCCCCCCCCCCGGCCCCAGCGGGGGGCGGCTGGGCTGGCCCCCGCCGAGCCCGGTGCCAGCTCGCTGTCTCTGGGCTGCGGTGGGCCTCGCTGAGGTGGTGCCTTCACCCGCCTTCCCGACAGCCCCCAGCTCCCTCCGCCCGCCGAGGCCTCGTGACATCTCTTCTGTCTTTTCTGCAGAGGTTTTTCCAGGACACGATTATGAGTGATCAAATCCAGTTCATTGTTGAGAAGCTCAATCAGGAGCCCTTCAGGAAGAACTACAATTTAATCACGTTTGACTCCTTGGAGTCAATGCAGCTGTTGCAGCTGCTCAATGATGTTCTGGGGGAGATTGACCCAAAGGTAAGGAAGGCAATCAGAGGTGCTCACATGTGTGTAATTGTGAACATCTTAAATGGGCCTGACGCAGAAATTTGCTTTTATTTAGGTCTGGCTCTGTATAATCTTGTGGCATGTTTGGTTTACCAAAATAGCTTGTATGAATCTTCCTGGAAATAAATGTGCCTGGCAAGAATCCGTTCTGTCTATACATCTATGTGTTCTTGGCAAACCAGGAAATGTTTCTTGGGCCAGGGATACTGGATCCCTGTCCCTCAGAGACTGATGACTGTATGTTTTCTCCTTGGGAATCAGGATACAGATCTTAACTTGGTTCATACTGACAACCGTCGCGTTCTTAAGTCAAAAGTCAGGCTGTCTTGCACACATACACAGGTATGATCAAGAACTGAACCTCATGATTTAGCTGTTGCAGTAGATATTGAGTCCCTCTCCTTTGAGGTTACCAGAAGTGTGCAGAAGGGATTGTTCATCCATCTAGGGCGCAGATAACATGTGCTAGGATATCTGACTTTGGTGGAGGTAATCCGTTTGCATAGATGAGGTCCCATGAACAGGGAGAATGTATACCTAGAATAAATTTACTTGAATACACATGTTGGAGAACAATCCATTAGAAGAGAATGGAAGTTTGGTGATAAAAAGGGTGTTCTGTATGGAGCATCTCGCTTCATTGGCGTATCGTGATAAATGGATAAAGTCAATTCTTTCAGTGTTGCTAGTTAATTAACATGACTTGGACAAACAGTGGATAACTTTTATTTTTTTACTCTTTAGCATGCTGTTGACATTAGAGAGGAGCTGCCAGAACAAACAGCTAAAAGAATGTTGAGTCTTCTTGGTATCCTTAAATACAAACCTCCAGGAAGTGTATCAGACTTGTAAGTATCTTTTTGTCTACAAATCACAGTAAAACATCTTTTACAGCTTATACAGTAACGACCTTTAATTTAGTAGTTGTGTGTATTTTGGACCTCCACTATCCCAGTGGGTATGTGTAACGCCTTGAAGGCAGCTCCTCCCTTGTCCCTATAGAGTATGGTATAGGGGATGCCAGCAGAAGGCTCCTGCAGGAGTAGGCTGCCCCTCGGGCCCTGCTGCAGCAGCTGCTATTGCAGAGCCAGCCAGGAGAGGGTGCCGCATGACTGGCAGGGTCAGTCCGTTCTCCATCCCTTTCAGACCAGCTGCCCAAGGCTGGATTGCACCCTCCTGTGCCAGGTTATAACCCAGAAAACCCACACTCTTCCCACATCGCCTTTATTCCTGAAGAATATCGCAGAAAAGGAAGAGTCATTGTTGCTGGCTTTAGCCTTTTGATGTGTTACAAGATTTTTATTTGTTTCAAGGTAGCAGAATTGGGATCATAAATAGCAAACTGGCATCACGAGTGTTTTCTCTTTTAACAGCATTAAGAATATCATTAGGCAAGTGGAGAGGGAATGTCAAAATATTGCAAATTGTTTGTTCCAAGCCAGTGTTCTTTATTGGGTTTTTTGTTGTTGTTTTCGTATAGGAGTGCATTTCGCCAAGGGTTAGTTACTGGAAGCAAACCTGTAATTCATCCTGTCTTACATTGGCTTCTTCAGAGGACCAATGAACTCAAGAAAAGAGCTTACCTGGCACGTTTCTTAGTAAAATTGGAAGTGCCAGCGGAATTCCTACAGGATGATACTGTGGCTGACATCAACAAACAGGTGCCATTTTTCATGAATGCCAACATTTTACGTTAATTAATTAAAGTGCCAATAGGAGGAGGGATAAATGAATCGGGGAGTTAAGTTGTTGAGATAAGTATTCAAGTAAGTTATGTTAAGAGCATGTTGGAATCGAGGGTGAGCAAATATTTGCAATATGACCACGTTTCTTCCAATAACCCTGAAATTGTATATTAATAGGTAGCATTGAATTAAGAGGTTTGAGATCTGTTAAGTATGGGGTACTAAATAATGTTCAGAGCCATGCTGGCCAAGACAGATTTTTATTTCTTAATTTTTAAGCACATTTTTTTTCCTATGAACTATGAGATGGGTATTTTTAACTTTCTAAATTACCACTTCAAACAAGTCCGGAAAATGTTATGACCAAAAGCCAACGTCTCCTAACTGTCAATTGATTGTACAGTATTTAGTACCCAATATTTGTATTAGCCTTATCCCAATTCTGCTTCAACCATTTATTTTTTTGTGAATAAGTAAAAAATTTCTTTTTCCTGGGCTGACATTCCTACTCATTATGTTCCTACTTCTTTTGTGAGCATTAACAATATTGGATTTATAACTTGGAATAACTAAGCAGAAGTAACAAAGAGAGAAAGGAATGCAGATTGTATGTTTTTTCAGTATGTCACAGTCTTAATATGTGTAAATATCCAGCTCTATTATTTCCATTATGTAAGATGTGTTCCTTTTTGGGATTACAGTAATATAACCATCTTATTAAACTAATACCCTGCTGATTAATTCAAAACAGAAGCTGGGGTAATATACTGCCTTAATGTAATTTAACTTTACAATGCAAGTATTTAGATACTAATGAGTTAAAGAATTGAGACTAAATTATTTAGATATACAGGCTTGCAATAGTGTCTTCTAAGAGAAACATTTCAAATATGAGAGTCTGGAAATCTTAGAACATGGTCAAGTTTTATGGCTGTATAGAATCAAGCTTAAATGTACTTTTGTAAATTATCTGAACAAGATACTCAGAATACTTGCCACCTTCCCAACTGTGCTGTGATTTAGACATCGGATTGGCTGCAGTATATAATTTAAACAGCGAGCAACTTCAGGCATGAATCTAGTTGTCCAGTCTTCATTGAGTTGCCTCAGGTGCCAGGTATCTTTCTTTCCACTATAGGTGTTCTTTGGTCATTTGAGTGTGTCACTTATTTCAGGTGCACATGGGGTAGCTGCAGCTTATTTGGGGAAAGTGAGAAACCTTCCCTTTGGTATGATCTGGCAAACTGCTATGCCCTTGTCTGAATCTTGCCATTGGTCTTGAAATTTTGTGTCCCGGTAAGGAAGACTTACTAAGGTCCCCTTTTGAAAGAGGTAGAGAATCCACACAAAGGAAAGTTGTTGGACATCAGCAATCATGAATACAGTTGCTCAGAGACTACCTGCTATTTCATGATTTGTTAAAGTACTTCTATAATGCATAAGTGATATAATGCAGGCCAGTTGCATTTTTACTCCTACTTTTTTGTAACTCATTCTTCATTATCCAGCATGTGCATACCTTATCATGCCTTTATTTGCCATTTAATCAAGCTCTTTCTCTATTATTTTTTCTCAGTAGCCATTTTATTGCTATTTTTTGAAATTCATTCCAGCTTGTCAGTGTGTGCCTGATATTGAAACAACCAGAAATGAACAGAGCATTCTAGATGCTAGTTCCCCAGGGTTTTATAGAATAGAATTGGTGCTTCACTGCTCAGAGATATGATGCCTTTGTTTGAATTGGCCTTTGCTGTTGCCATTTTGTGTTCAACATTCATATCAATTGCTCTTTCCAGGAAGTAAAAAATGACTTGATACTCTCTTTTTAGATTTTTCCATCTCATTGAATGGCTGTTTCTGTGGAGATTATCTTTCTTTATATCTCAGCTTGCATTTCTCCAAGTTGAATCTAAATTTATTTCCTATCCATATTTCTAAACTCTTTCTGTCCCCTGTTATTTCTCTACCCACACAGACTTTCACACTGCCTCTCAGTTTAAGATTACTGGTGGGCAATGTACTGGTGTGGAAGTAGAACACTGTCTACTTCTTTCTAACCACCGAACTACATATATCAGTCTCTGTAATATACTGAGGGCATGATTATGCAATGTGTCAAAACTATTTCTCACATGTTAAGTCAGGTGTGCTCTTGGACCACTTTGCTGGATTGAAGCTAAGTGCTCTATAAATTCAAGCCCCACTGCTTTGATCAAGCGTGTTGTTAGATCAAGCTCTTCCTTTGGGGGCTGATAAATTTATGTATGTGATATACATAGATTTATAGTAAGAGAGAATAATTTGTTAATATAGCATTGTCCATTTCAGATAACATCTTATCTTCCTGTTTTGAAAATACACTATGTATTACAAGGGAAGAGGTGAAAATACTGAAGAAATTGTGACACTTCTGAGTGTACCTTCAAATGGAAAACAATTCGCTGTAATTTTTTATTTTTGCTTTATAACTTGAGAAGATTTTTTGATGAAAAAATGCCTTTAATTCTGTTCTCACCATATTTCTATTTCTATATTTACTGTCTTAGTAGAAAAGCAACATATTGATCTGAAAGTCCTGAGACACAGAGCTCATTCTGCATGGTTTTTATTTCATTTTATAGTATGAAGAACTGATGGAAGCATTTAAAAACCTACATAAGGAGTGTGAGCAGCTCAAAACATCTGGTTTATCTACTGCAGAAATAAGAAGGGTAAAAAAATCTGACAAAATCACACAACTTTTGTTTAGTTTTTTTTTTTTGAATGTCAGTTCTGTTTTTGTCGGTTTTGTGGACTCATTGCAGTGTATAAGTTGCACAGGTCACAGCTGGTAGGCACTGCAGCTGCCTTTTTGGAACTGTCCTCCGTTGGCAAACAGATTAGAAAGTCCTTGCTCATGCTTAGAACTGCGCTTTCTGAAGCAGATTGGGAAACAAGGCTGCCAAGACTCTGTTTGCATGATTTTCAAATATTAGAACCCCTTTTCCTGTGAATGCAAAGTGATACAAAGCCTTTTGCTTTACTGATTTAGGGTAATAATTTCAGAGGGTGTTGAAAGAGTTAAGAGCTTAAGTCAATAAAAATGATGATCCTGTCTGACTAAAGTATTAAGTAAAGATGTTTGCCCTGCTTCAGCAAAATATTTAAGCGTGGGTACAGCTTTCCAGTAAGACATATGGACAAGTTAAGCAGATGTTGAGATAAGGCCTAGATTTGGAGAATTTATTTCTCTTTTTCTCATAACAGTCTCTGGAATCCTGCTGTTTTAAGATAGGATTAAAGGAGAGTAATAATTGGATACATGTTTTAGCACTAGAAAGTGTTTTTTTAAACACAATTTTAATACAAAAAGTGGCAGCAAACATCACTCGTATGCAACTTCATGCAAAATTGTCTGCCAGGAGGTGGGTAATGATGGTAACATTAAGAACATATGTTAGGCTGCATCAGGTGTTGAATTCATGCTGATTTTTGCTTGGTTGTTTCTGTTTGTTTGTTTTTATTTTAGAGAAATCCACCTGCTTTTATTTTAAATGTTCACACTAATACTCAAGGATGCAGATGAAGGAATGTTAGCATAAAGAGAGTGGGAACTGTGGGGGAAGAGAGAAGAGAGAGATTGGAATTCTGGATGTTCTGATCATAGATCAATAAAATTATAACCACTTCAGTGTATTCAGAGAATAATTCTGGTTTTCATATTAATTTTAACAGAATTTAGTCCAATCCATATTATATTGTAAATAAATTAACATTTCTTTGTCTATTTTTTCTGCTTTTCAGGACATCAGTGCAATGGAAGAGGAGAAGGATCAACTCATCAAAAGAGTAGAGCGCCTTAAGAAGAGGGTAATAAGAGAAGTAACGCTGCTACATTTCAGTGTCATAATTTTTGGCTTGCAACTCTGATTTTGGAATGCAAACAAGGATTAAGATAAACATACTGTATGTCTAGGAAGGAATCGAATAACTAATTGACCCACAGGGAATCTCCCTAGGCGTTCATCCAGAGCTTTTAAGAATCTTGAGTCCGGTACTTAGCTGTCATTTCTGAGTAGTAACATGTATGGAAAGGAAGTGCTAAGTGGGCTTGTGAGACATATGATCTCTTTAATGTATTTCTCAACTATCTGACAGTAACATGCACTATTTATCCACTTGCTGTAGGTGGAGACAGTACAAAATCATCAACGAATGCTTGAAATAGCAAGACAGCTTCGCTTAGAAAAAGAGAGAGAAGAATCTTTGGCTCAACAGAAACAAGAACAAAAAAATCAGGTACTGACATTAAAGCATACCTATTAAAATAAATAGTTGTAGACATTTGTTTGGCAATCATGCATTTAAAAAAGTACATCAGGAACAACAGTACAGAGTTTCTCCCAACATCAGAAAATTAAATCCCATTTAAAATAGAAATATTTATCTACATTTTAAGGGAAGAGGCTTAACCTTGCAAGTTTTGAACACCTCATTCAACGTACTCGGCTACCTCAGCTGCCACTGACATCATCATGTAGCAGTCCCAGGAAATGTTCCATGGCTTGCTGTTGTAGCACCCAAAGAGAATTCTTTGTATTTATGGTAGTGAGCAAATATGTTCCTTACTTTGATTTGTATCTCTGTGCATCTGCACTAAGATTTCAGGTGTTGAGTAACACAGCAAGTACCTCAGCTTGTCACTGAGTTGGGGGAATATATATTCAGGAGCAGCCTTGGGATTTTGGTCCCCAAATTTGAGAAAAATGACATCCTGGGAAGCACTGGAAGCAGCTGAAATCTGAACATAAGGGTGGGTTTTATTCCTGAGCTATGTTGTCAAAACAAGATATTTTAATAAAATCCATTGCCATATTGTTATATCATCTCACCGAATTCAGCAGCATGAACTTCAACGCTGTATTAAAAGGGGAAAAAATCCCAGATTTCTAGTATTGCAGTCTATATCTGGATGTGGAATCAATGTGAATAAGTAGGCTTTCAAGCTGTTGGGTCTTCACTTGAACCCGAGAGAGATCACAAGTAAAATGAATGTGATGTCCAGCTAATTCCGGTTCTTAGTACTCATCTAAGTCACAAAAACGCTAATCAACTTGGGTGTTGTTTGGCAACAAACTTTTCAGCGTGCTCTGAAGTCGGACAGTAGGTTGCTGTGACAATTCAGCTGCATTGAAGAACTGCAGTATAAGGATAGTTATCTGCTGCAGTCCTGATTCTTGCTGTTTGTTGTTCTAATGTTCAAGCCACTCACATTTTTGGTTGAAAATTGTTTAATGAATTTCTGCCTTAGAGAAAATATCACTTTGGGGTACAAGAATACTTTCCTCAATTAACACTAGAGAATATCAAGTAAACCCAGGCTAATTGTTGAAAGTTTGTTTTGGCATGTTCCCTTCTGAAACAGATAGTCACCAGATGCTTATAGCTACCTTCTTTTATATTTGGGATTCTTTTTGTTACTTTTTTGTTTTAGTTGTTTGAATATGCATTTCAAGGAAATGAGCTTATGTGTCTCCAATTCTCTCTCAAAAGTTGTTCCACGCAGAGCAGAGACTGCAAAGAGCACAGCTTCAGCTGAAAGAGATGCATCATGCAGTAGTGGATTCAAAACCTGAAAGTAAGTAGTAATCTATAAAGGCTGGGGGTTTACACTTCTCTGTTAGAAATGAAATAAAAACTGGACGGCTGTCAGTAATACGGTACTGCCAAAAAGCATATAGGAACTTAAGAGAATCTAAAGAAAGAAATAACTTGTGTTCTAAAGGCACATGCTGGAGAACGTAAGGCTGAATGTGCCACAGAAAGCCAGGGAGACAATCACAAGGGAAGATGGTATCAGTCATATTTCTGAGGTCCACTTTTTAAAAAATCTTAAAACAATTAAATACTGAATACTAACCATAATGCTCTGCAAGAAAAGAACAGTTGGAACTACAAAGGGTTGGAAAAAGCAGAAGCCTCTTACTAAATCAGAAGTTTGTCTTTCCAAAGGTTTTATGCGTTTTGTATTTGTAATTGGGCATTGTTGAAATACTGCCACTTAAAAATTTTCTCAGTGAACGTACAAATAAATTGAATACTATGTTTTATTCAGTGTAGACTTGTTTTTCTAGTTGCCTTCTATAAAATATTTGTTTGAAAAGCTTTAAGGCCTGTTTCTCATTGTAGTGCAATTTTGTGTTGTAGTTTTGTATGGTACCACAAGTAAAGCTACTTCCTAATTAAGCTTTTTTTTATAGATCATGGATTATATATATTTATATACACACACACATTCTTATATATGATTATAAGTATATATAATATATACTAGATATATCTATATTAAAGCCTATATATTTATATATGAATATATTTGTTTACATATGAAAATACTTTGTTCTCATGATACAACTGTAGCCGATTGAGTTGTATGTTGCTGTATTACATTAATAACAGCAAGATTGCTTCTCCTCATTTTCAGTGATATCTCAGTCTGCAAATAACCTCAGCAAAATAAATTATACTACTTGTGAAGTAAGTTAGTAGCCTATGATCATTTATAAAAATAGCAGGTGGGAAGGAATTGCAGTTACTAGATAAATATGTAACTAACTGTCTCCAATTTTACAACCTGTAGGTTCCTGATGGTTTAATCACTTTGAAGAAAATGTAACAAGGATTAGCCTGGCAGTTTGACAACAAAACTGGGAGTCAGTTTAGGGTTCCGTGTTTCAGATATATGTGATCTTTGGCAAAATACTTAACCCCTTTCAGTTTGTCTCTTGCACTTGGTTATTAATAACACATCGCAGGACTGATAGAGGTTTTCTGTAGGGTTGATTTATAGGGAAATAATTTACTGTATGTAAAGTAGTGTGAAGGTATAAGACTCTGAATGGTCCTTTTCACAGGGCTTTTCCAGTTGCCTTCTAAGTGGCTGTGGTAGAAAAATGCCATGGAACGATTTTTGTTGTATGTATAAATTACTTCCAAAATTATAGAATCTGACTATTTATTGATTTAAACTTAGTAAAGTAGGTCATTGTCTTACTCTTTCAAGTACATTTAATATTCCAGTTGCATCACATAACTGCTTTGGCAGCTATTTTGAGTTAGAGAATTTTTTTCAGTCACCAGCACGTTGCTTTGTTATTACTTTGTGATTTTACTTTAATTTTTTTACGATCCTCATCAGCCACTGAACCACAAATGGACCTAAAAGAGTATCTGAACTGTCTTCTTTACTCAAAGGGACTTGCAGTGGATTTTATAACTGTTCCATTTTTGCAGTAGCTATCAGAGAGTTTATACAGCAAAGCTGTGTCAACATTTCTATTTCAGTTCCTGGGTTTTTTTTAAGGCCAATGGAAACTTGATGGGTTCAGTTCACAGAAGCGAAGGTAACATAATAAAAAGCCAGTAAATATGTCATTTAATCATTGAGATGAAAATAAAGATAAAGTTAACATATCTAATTTCCTGAAGTCCTGCTTGCAGGGGAAAAAAGTGTTTAAATGTTCTGAAGAAAAACTTGGAGTCATTACTTAAGAAAACTTGTGCTGAAATTTTGCCCAAACAAAGACTTCAGGACTTAGCTTTGTAATTGCTTTTTCCCTGTAGTAGTTACAAAGACACCGCCTGTAGTAGCAATTACAGAATGCCAACTGTGTTTTTTAAATAATTGAAATTAGGTGACCACAGTGCACTGAATAAGATTCAAATTATTTTAAAAGCTTTGTTGGTCTATAGTTTGCACAATTTATTTTTATTTTAAAAATTCCTTTTGGCTGCAGTTTGGTACCTCAACTGCCTACTTGTATCAGTATAGCTTGTATGCTAACAATTCAATGGCTGGTTGGTAGGTGTAGATTTTCACTGGAAGTTAGAACTTTCCTTTAAAATAATTTTCTTACATTTTTCATACTTCAGGTGTTTTTGCTTGCAAAGCAAGATAAAATGATAAAAGTTGTTAATGAGTAGAAGCTTTTTGGTCTGTCTTACAGATGCATGCTCCTTTCGTTACTTTATCTTATTATGAATTTAGGATGAAGTACTTTAAAGACATGTAAAGGAACTCTTTAGGAACTAGCACATATTTATGAGTATTGTTAACATGCAATTAGCATCAGTCTGCTTTAGCTGTGCCAGAAAAATACAGCTTATGGTTAGTAGGTTTTTAACTCTTAGAAATATAATATTTAGAAGACTTTCTATTGTATCATGAAAAACAGTTGATTGTTTTGAGATGTTTTGTAGACTAAAATTAATCATACTGGTTTCCACAGTACACTCCTTCCCTGTTTATTAACTTCAGTACTACTCAGTATGTTGTTTGCCTATAGAGAGGCAGTTGCTGCTGGTAGCAGTAAGTAACATGAATTTGCAGTTTCTGGGTTTTTTGTTGTTGTTCTGGATATGAATAGTATTTTTATTAACACTGACCACTAGTTTGAATAACCTAGCTCATGCTTTCTCAGCAAGATTGTCATCTTTTTGCTTTGATTATCTCTGCTGGCACAAACACAAATTGTTAACGCCAAGAAGCAAACTGAATTACTGAAATTCTTGATCTCTGTCCATTTTACAGAACATTATTGTTCACTTTATTGGCAGAAATATGAAGAAGTGGATGACTAGCTTGAAAATATTGATTAAAAGAATGCTTTAAGATGATCGTTGTTGATAAACACTGAAATGTATAATTTATATACTTCATTAAGTTAATATGTAGTAATAGATTTAGAACACAGAGAACTTCAAAGTTCTTCAGTCAAAAAGGAATTGCTTTGTACAGATGTCTATTTTAAGTCATTCTGAACACTTGATGAAAAATAGAAATTTAGGATGCTATTATTCAAATATACCATTTGAATGAAAACATAAACATTCTTCTTTTCCACAGAACTATCTTTCCCTAAAATTCCAAGTTTAAATGATCTCCACTACCACTGCGGATCACATTACAATTAAAGTTATAGGTGTATTTGGTAAAGGAAAATGGCTTAGGTGGAATTTTATAATAAATAAAATAATTTAGAGATGGAAATAAAATCACTATCAGTTCCTGCAAGGTCAGGGGGAAAGCACTTTTAAGCTAACTTGATATCTTTGATGAGAATACAAGTCTGGTTGGGAAGATAATAGTATTGCTGTGGTTGACTTTTCTTAAGACCATTGACTCTTTATTTGCACCCCATTTTGAAGAACAAACAAGGAAGCAAAAATTCAACGTGACCTGTGTTAAAAGGACTAAAAGGAAACTGAAAATTTTGGAAAGGAATTAATCAGGGAATCATCTCTGAGTGGATGTGTTTCTAATCAGGACATGCAGAAATCAGTGTTTGGCTCTTTTTTTGTTTAGTATTTACGTCAGATACCTGAATAAAAAAAGGCAACTGATCAAGGGTGAAATTGTCAGATGAAATTAAAATTGGGGAAATGACTGAATAAAGAGGAGGGCAGACTGTTGATTCGAAGTGAACTTAATCACTTAGGAAGTGTTGTGGTTTAACCCCAGCCAGCAACTAAGCACCATGCAGCCGCTCACTCACTTCCCCACCACCCAGTGGGATGGGGGAGAGAATCGGAAGGAAAAAGGTAAAACTCATGGGCTGAGATAAGAACAGTTTAATAGAACAGAAAGGAAGAACCTAATAATGATAATAATAACAGTAGTAAAATGACAATAATAATTATAAAAGAATTGGAATACACAAAACAAGTGATGCACAATGCAATTGCTTACCACTCGCCAACTGATGCCCAGTTAGTTCCTGAGCAGCGATCCCCGCCCAGGCCAACTCCCCCCAGTTTATATACTGGACATGACGTCACATGGTATGGAATACCCCTTTGGCCAGTTTGGGTCAGCTGCCCTGGCTGTGTCCCCTCCCAAATTCTTGTGCCCCTCCAGCCTTCTTGCTGGCTGAGCATGAGAAGGTGAAGAATCCTTGACTTGGTGTAAACACTCCTTAGCAACAACTACAAACATCAGTGTGTTATCAACATTCTTCTCATACTGAATCCAAAACATAACACTATACCAGCTACTAGAAAGAAAATGAACTCTATCCCAGCCGAAACCAGTACAGGAAGCCAAGCCCATGCCAAGAGTGTGTATTTTAAGGAATAGCCAAATGCCATGGTATTCCTCTAGGAATAATGTACATGCAATGTAGTTACAGCATGTGGGACTCTTCCCTAAGAAGTGACTCTGAAAAGGACTTGTGGGTCATGGTGTAAAAATGGTAGAACTGGAGCTCCTAGTGTCAAAGATTTGGTGCTATCCATGCATTTATTTATGGAAGAAAATGGAATAGGAGAGTGATTACCTCTCTTTTTAGCTCTGATATGTCCATCACTGCAATGCTGTCCATTGATGAGACTTCAAGAAGAACGTTGAAAGGTCAGAGAGATTCCAGAGAGCATCAATAATAATTATAAACATGGAAAACGTAACTTAGAATGGCAAATTCAGGAAGTTTTTTAGTTTTTCAAGGAGATATCAAAGGGATGATTTGATCATTATCTGTCAGTGTTTGCATGTCCCAGACCTCTGTTTAGTACAGGGAAATTGGAAGTTGTATCATTGGAAGCTGTGGATGGAATCATTTCAATGCTCTGTTATTGAGGATGATTGCAGAAAGGGAAGTGAAGGCTTTGATGTAAGTGAATGCCCTGCGGAAGTCTGTTCTAGACCTGCCTTTGTCATGGCCTTCCTATGTGTATTAAACGAAGTGTTGGCAGATAGTCTATAAAATGAGTGGTTCTCTTTCTTTTATTTTTTCTTTTTTTCCCCTTTTTTAAAAAAAACAGTTATTGTTGCAAGTGGTTTTGGTATAGGATGTACAATTGGTAGCCTGTAGAGGGAAAAGAAGTAGGAGAAGAAATAGGAATCTGAGTGCAAGGTGAATCAAGTTTTAGATCCATTAGCAGAATTATGCAGAGGAACTTGCCTCTTTCCTACATGACTGAGCAAGCAGTAAGAAACTCTTTCTCCCATCCCTCTCTTTGTAATAATAATAATAAAAAAAGTTGAATGGAAAACATGAGGAGTTGCTGTTAATAGCTCCCCACATGTAAATACGTGGTTGGCAGAACCTTGCTAAAATAACCTTAGGGCACAGAGCCAGACTTTCTGTGCAGCTTACGTATGTAGATTTTGTAACCATAAGTCAATGTTAAAACATTAAAAACAGAATTTATATGTGTAATGGAAAGATTTAAAGTATGCTTGCTTTTCTTTCCTCTAGCCTGGGAATTTGATAAAAGAATGTTTTTCACTGAAAAAAAATTAAAACAAGAGCTGCCCTATGTTTTGTTTTTTAAGGTTCTGTTAAGCAGCAAAAATAGTTCTTAGGTAGTTACTTCTCCATATGTTGAATTGTAGGGGAGGAAAAATATATCCAAAGTATTTAGGAATGAAACCACATTAGTCATGAGGGATGATGACATCATCATGTCTTTCCCCATCGAGATGTCAAGTTTTAACTCGCTTCGTTGCTTGTTGCACTGTCAAGAGTAAGCATGATGTAGAACCAGTCAGTGTTTAAAAGAAGTTGGTAATAGCGCTCAGGTTATCTGAGAAATAAATCTAGATAGTGATCAAGGTTATACCCTGTGAAGTCAGAAGGTCCCTGCTCTAGAGAAAGCAATTGTTTAGGTGTGGTTATTTCCTGAGTTAAGTGTGATATCTACAATAAATTATTTAGGCATGTTCATTTTTATAAGAAAACTGGAGTAGTTCAAGAAATAAAGTATAGCCCATGTATGCAGATTATTTTTGCCACTAAGAGGAAAATAAATTAGTTTGATGAAATAAAAATATTAATATTTAATATCAGAATAATTTAATTGATATCACTTTGATTTCCACACCAAAGATCTTGGTTATAAATATCAAATTGGGAGTTGCATTCCTAGTCAGTTCTGAGGCGATAATTCAGCTCACAGTGTATGTGGGAAGCTTTGCTGCATTTGCAGGGGTGGTAGATTTCTAGTGAGACATTAAAATGGGGTCCCTCCTGCCCAGCTCTGTCATGGGCTGAGGAAGACTGGAATCAAGTGCTTCTGGAAGGATGAAGTGGGAATTCTCTCTTAGTAAGTCCAAGTGTGTCTCTCGGGGTATAGCTGTAGTGCCAAGTACATAATGGCTACTGCATACATAGAGTAAGTCCACTTACCATTCTGAAACCAGTATTGATGCTGTTTGTTTCGCACAAGATAAATGAGCTTTCCACAAAGGGGAAAAGATCATGTGGTAGTGTTGCTTTTCATAAACACAGAAATCAACAAACTAAACTGCTGGCAAAGAGGAATTCCCACTCAGTTTGTGTTGACTTGACTTTGTTAGCAACACTGCTTTCCCTAGGGTCTGTTTTCTTTCTTCTATTTCTTGAGGCTTTCTCAAGAACTAACGGTTTATTTCCTCTCTGGCAGCTAAACCAAGTAGTTTTTCTTTCAGTCTGAGCTGGGAGCAGAGGGTGAGGAGGATCTATCAGTACGGTGTTTCTAGAGGTAAATAGTGGCAGAATAATGGAGGCCCTTTTCCTAGGCTTCTATTTCACTTTGTTCTGACCTTCTCCTTTTGTTGGTCAGTGGTATGGTCAGCAGGCTTTTTAGCCAGAGAACCAAAAACTCTGCTTTCACCTACGTCCCTTCCCATCTCTGTTTCAGCAGCAGCAGCTGTATACTGTTGTATCTCTGTACTCAAGATTTTCTCTGTTTGTGCAGTGTGTGAAAGAGGCAGAGATTGTGAATTTCTTGGTTTTCTTGGCATTTCATGCCAATTCCATATTCTCCCAAATATGGAGAGAATCCTCCCAGCCCAAAACCCCAACTCTAGCAAGTAGTTTTAAAAAGTTCCTAGGATACTTACCCCTTAGTCATCTAGATAACAAAAAATATTCTGAAATACCTATCCCTACTCTCATCTGACATATAACTTCCAAATCTTACCGTCGTCCTTGACACAGGTGTCTCGGAAGAGTAATTGCACTAAACTGCCTGTTGTCAGCGAAGACCGTGTAATGTAATTTAAATAGATGCTTTATTCTATTCTGCTGCATTTTTCTAGCTGTATATTGTTCTTATCTGAATGTACCTGTGTTTATTTATAAGTTATCTGTTAAGGAGGCTAAATTACTCTACTTAGCAAGAGCCAAGTCGTCATAAGCATGGTAAGATGCAGTGTGCATCAGGCTTGTGTAGAGCAAAATTTATAAATATGGTTGCTTTTCTCAACAGAATTTTTGATGTTACTCAGCAATTCCTTCTTTTTTTTCTATTTTATTATTTTTTTCAGCATTCTCAGTCTATATACTGTCCTGAGATTAAACACTTGTTCTTACAAGAAAAAATAGCGTGCTATTTACAGAGACAATTTATAAGTGTTCCAGCAATGTAAAAGACCCTTAAAGTAGGCATACATTAAATTCTGCTCATTGTAGGGCCTTTTTAGATGCCAGATTAGAATAAAGTTTTATTTTAAGGGATAATTTCCAAGGATATAACAAATCTATACATGAGCTAGGCCAAATTAAGATCTTTGTACAGATAAAGGATTCACACAGAGATAATTTCTGTCTGTAAATGAAGTAATTCACATGAAACAATGACCCATGCAATCTGTGAGTAGGATCAGCTTCAGGATGCTTCCTCCACTGCTCCAGCCACAGAAATTCCAAGGGATACAAGCTTTGAAAAATCTCTGAGCAAGTTAGCATAGCTGTGATGTGCTTTGCTGCCCCTCATCTTGCAAGTGCATAAGCAACCAAAGTCTAGCTCTTAAACTTCTCAAATTTCAGAAGAATGTAATTCACAACACAAAAAATGTAACATAGAGTCTACTATCTTGATGTAAGACACACATAGGGTTTAATGGCTTTCTATATCAATGCTGCATGTTGAATTTTGCATCTGATTCAGCTAGAGTTTCATGTAGGAAGGGTTTAACTTGTTTATTGATGAAAAGAATCTGTCAAGGAGTTAATAGTTATGTGTTAGAGATACAGATGGATAATAATACCTATTATATTGCTGAACATCCAGATTAAAAATCTAAATCAAGTAACTACCTGTTTCTTTAAGTGTTGAAAAGAAGTCTCAAATGTTATTCTGTTGTTATTGTAATTGCTGCTAAATTTAATGTGTTGGTGAAATCAAACTTAATTATCTGCTACATTACTTTTATAGACACACACTGATTTAATTTGGTTTTAAGGTTTAATGAAGAAACTAGAAGAGGAGATAAATTTCAATTCATACTTGGTTACTGAAAAAATACCTAGAGAGCTTGAAAGTAAGAAGAATTCAACATATTTCCTACAAAAGGTGGTTGCAGAGCCAGCTATGAGTCAATCTGATCTCAATGCACTTGAAACCAAGGTACGTTGACCAAGGTCACACTTAATTTGTGTTCCGTAGCATGGTCTAAGGTTCTTGTACACTGTAGTTTTCTTACCCCTACTTTATATCCTTGAGAAAATGTGTCATTCCCAAAAGAACATCCCTTCAATTGTAAAACAAAAGATGTGTTAATCACTAAATGCAAACTCTCAGATAAGTTTTTTTAAAAAAACACAAAACAAACAAAAACAAACAAACAAACCCCAAACCCAACCCTATCCTTAAATGCTATTTAGAAAATTGTGTTAGCAATTTGCTATGGTATGAGCAGAGATGTTAATTTAGCACTAAAGGTTTGATTTTTCTTCTCTTCAGATTTCACTTGTTTTAAACTCACTGACATCAAGGGAGTTTATACCAACATATAGAGAGTATTTATGGAGTGGTAAACAATATTCTCCAAGTGATACATCTTCACAACATTATGTGTTAATCAATGTGCAATGGCTCAGAACTCCTTAGTGTTTGGAATAGGTCTGCATCATTTGTCTTAGTTGGTAAGACCAAAGGAAATTTGGGGATCAAATACTTGATTTACTTTTCCAGATTTTTTCAGAAGTTAAAAGCAAATAATGTTAGAATGACCAAAAATCCTTATTTGTAGTATGTATCCAAACTCTGCAGAGGGATTTGTTGCCACAGAAGTACATTTATACATTTCACTCAGTGAAGTTTTCATATTTGCATAATCCTAAATGAAAGATTAAATACGTAATACTATGTTCTAGAAGAATTTAGAGGAATGCTAATTATTAGTATTTCTGTTGGTGATGATGAAGATTTACAACAATGTTAGCTAGGGTAGGAAGACTAGTCCTACATACTACTAGGTACACTGTTCAGTCTAAATGTCTTCTCCTTCTACCAGTTGTTTTTTAATATTCTTAGGATCTCCAACTCAGGCTTTGCTGTGAAATATAGATAATGAGGAAAAGGAGTATTTGTAATAGATCAGAGAATGATTTACCTGTGGGCATGAGGGCTGCCATCCACCATTCTTCCTGTGTCTTGAAGCAGAAAGAGGTTCAGCAACTCCCTCAACATCATAGTAGCTTGTGCATTCACACACAGAACATGCCAAAGTAATAAAGAAATGCCCACAGGTTTTTTGGATCAGACAAGAATCTGCAGTCAAGTGTCATCAAGAATACATTCTGTTTTAAGGTTAAGACTACTTTTTACAAAAGTAAAATCAGTGACAGCCTAATGCCATTTTGGATTCTGATCATTATACTTCTAAGGATGACAGCATTATTAAGTGGTAGACCAGGTCTGAAATAATAATAAACTAGCTCTGTGATTCAGCCTTTGCTTTTGTAGTTTATTTCTTCTAATCAAAACAATATTTGTGGTTGCAGTAACTTCTTTTAGGCACAGTTGAAGCCCTGTTTTGCACCTTTCTTTTCCAAGAGTATTGTTGGGGTTTTGGCAATATTTTAAAGAACGTCAAGGGTTTTTTTTTTTTTCTCTTTCTCCGTGAGGTAACCTTTTAATTTGTTATATTTTGGAAGTATGTTCTTAATAGATAATAAAAATATGTCATATACTTGGCTGTTATCACAGCATGGCCTTAGACAGCATTTTTTTTTTTTTAAAGTCAGCCTTCTATTAAAAAGGAGCTGAACTGCACTATGCATGCTACTATCATGCGTTTTATAATGTATAAAACAGGAATTTATTCACAGAAGGGAATTCTTATGCCATCTTCAAATTCAGGCCTGTTCTACCACTTACAGGCTTTTGTAAAGGAATAGAATTTACAGGAGATATCTTTTCCAGGTGCTGGAGTATTTTTAGTCCTATTGAGCACTTTATTTGAAATACTTAGCTTTCAAAGTACACGGATATTGCTCATAGAAATGTTAGGGTAATGCCCAGCACTGTACCTGCGTTACATTTTGACTTCATTGGATTTCAGTACATATTTACACTGCTTGCTTATCAGCACTCATCTAGTTAGCAGAGAATTAAAGGAAGGTTGCTAGGGCTGTGGTTTCCATGGCTGATGAGAGTCCCAGTGTAGCATTAAGTCAGGACTGGAAAAGCTGGAGTCAGTACACTAGTGTAGCTGTTTATGAGTTTCCAGATGCAGTAGGCTCTAAAGCTTCAGCTAGAATGAAGATCAACAATTTGAGATTATGGACAAACAGGTGCATTTTGCGGCAGTAGAAAGAAGGTACCGTAGAGCTGGAATATGGTGGTCTGTGACTCTTCAAAACATTGATGAAATTTTATATCACTTAGTCTTTATTTGCTCCCCTTTAAACTTTTGATAAATGGTTGAGTGAAAAGGATTTTTAGTTAATATTGATAAAATTACATTTTTCACATAGTATGTGACATCAGTCTTTTTTCTGTCTGTACCAATTCACATGCATTTTTCTCTCCACGTACACCAGTTTGCTTCATTTTCAGGGCCAATGTCATGCTTCTGCCTTATCATAAAGGCACAGAACTGGAAATCCAAAAACACAACCTCTTCCTGGCCAACACTTAATGACTCATTGAGTTTTTTGGGTTTGTTTCTCTGTTTTAAAAATGGAAGTAGCTGGATTGTAAATCTTGTTTGCAAAGCCTTTAATTCTTGGAGAAGACAAAGAAATAAAGCTCCGTTTCCTTAGTTTTCTATTCTGTCTTGCAGATAAATGAAGTGAACGCACAAATTAATCAGCTTATTGAGAAAAGAATGATGAAGTATGAGCCAATTGATAGTAAATTTTCTATGTATCGCCAACAGGTAAGAAGGAACAAAACATTTGTTAAGCAGAAGCAGTAAAGCAATTTCAGTCACTGATCATCTTCTATACTGATTTTTTTTCTTTAATTTATTTAGCATAAATCAGTAGAAATACATAATAATGGAAGACAAAAAGAAAATAAATAGCTGTTGAACATATGTAAGCTTAGCTCTGAGTCAAACAATTGCTTTCAATCATGTTAGGGAGTTTGTATTGACTGCTGTCCTTAAGCTGTTAGGTGTTGCCCTTAAGCTGTTAGGTGTTGCCCTTCAGCTGCATCACAGTAATTCTGGAAGGATCATTTTAGAGGAGCTATTTTGGTAAAGCTCCAGCTGTGGACAGATTCTTGAAAGGCAGCATGTGGGCTGACTGCTGCAGTCAGACCTGGATGCAAGGCTTGCTTTCAGTTATATCCCTTGCTTGTGTTTGACCACATGCTATTTTTCCCGTTGCATCTATTAAGAAGGTATTCTTTGATTTTTCATCCTGAGGCTATAAAATAGTCTTTCTATAAAATAGGCTGTCTAGTCTTAGTAAATTCACAAGTTATAAAGAGGATTTATGAACTCTGAGATTTTCAGAGCTTACGCAGAAATGTAAGTGATTTCTCTTCCAGGCAACCTGTACCGCTGCTAATTTTATTGAAGATTTTCATGATGATACGGTGATGGTTTAAAAAAATAAAAAGGCTTAAGTAAAATGTATCAGTGGGAGGAAAAAAATTGTGATAAAATATATACTGCAGTTCAATCACATATGCAATATGAAACGCACCATTTTGTTTTGTAAGAGATGCTCCTCTTCTCTAAAGAAAAGCCTGCTACAATAATGTGCTGGTACCAAAGCACCAACTGGCTTGTGATATAATTATGTTCAATGTTCAATGGAGGAACCACTCCACGAGTTCAGGTTGCTGCTGTGAGTTGAAGGCATATGGTGGTCTTTGCTTTGTTCTGCTAGGGACGGGCTTCTGTTTCACAAAATAATCATATATATTGTACCACAGTTTGTCACTGCAGATATCTTGTGAAGCAAAGAGCTGAGATACTACCCCAGCAGAATTCTGTTAGGTATATTTTTGGAAATAAAGCTGGTCCTTTTAACCTAGTGTGAGAAAGCCAGTGTGTATTTTGCTTCATTTGTTCTTAAGTTTTGCCTTTCATATGAAGAAACTAACCATGCCTCCAAATTCATGCACATGCATCTAAATTAATGTGTTGCGTTATTTTAAAATATTTTAAAATAGTATACTTTGGCAAGATAAAAATGCCTTTTTTTTTCCCCTCTGAACTAATGTATACTTATGTTCCCAAATCTGTTAGCTTCTGGTCAAATGTTATGTACTATTAAATATTCCATCTTTTATAAAATATTATTTTTTAAATGCTTTATCTTCTAGACTCAAAAAGAAAAAGAATAATCTGTAATCTACACTATTTCTGTACTGTATTGCTTTATTCATTGTCTTCTAGTTATTTGCCAAGATTTAGTGGCTCAGTTCTGCTGTTAGTATAACATATTTCTGTAGGTTGGAGTAGGTTGGAGTTATAAAAATCTGTATTATGGCATTTGTGAAATCTTGGATAACTTTCCAGTTAAGCCATGTTGGTGTATCTTACATATGCACAAAAAGGGACTAAGTAGAAGAAATGGAGCTGCTAAAATGCCTACCTTTTTCTTCAATGAAAATGAAAAAATGAGGTGAAGAAATGTAAATCTAAAATGTAAAATATATCAACATGAATGCAGGAAAAAAGGGTATGCTTGAAATCTCGGCCATACTGAAGAAAGTTGGGAGTCTGCAATCAGCTTGAATGAAATTGTGGTTTAACCCACTGTATATAATGTGTGATCGATGCTTTTTTCTTTGCAGTGAGACATGCTCACATTTCTTAATGAAAATCAGTTTCTGACAGTTAAAATGTGGTTTCAGTGGTGCAATGCCTGAAATTTAATGGATTGCATTTTACCAATGATTAAACAAGGCAATTTTTACTTTACTTGTCCATATGCATTTTTAATGATCATGCAGGCATCTATAATTTCCCGGAAAAAGGAAGCCAAGGCAGAAGAACTTCAGGCTGCTAAGGAAGAGATGGCCAGCGCTGAAAGGCAGATGCTGCAGAAGACCAATCAGGCCCATGAGTTAGAAGGCTCTGAAGTTCTGAAAGGGGATGAGGTATGCAATATAACAGTAGATATAAGGAAGAGGAAATTTTTAAGAGGTGGATCAATTTTTAACAACTCACAATCTCCTTTTAACTTTACATTGCAATAACTGCTTCTACAGTATCTTATCCTTTTTTCTAGTATGTTGTCAAACTACATGGCCTCAGCATTGCAACAGATTGGCCTCTGTTTTTTTAATGCACATATTTTGTCATCAAATTCCAAAATTAACATATTTGAAGACTTTTTCTTTAAATGTGCAGATACTACAATGCTGTTCAGTGCTTTCAAATGCTTTCCAATGTTTATACTGCAGCAGTGCTTGATTTGTAGCTATTTTCAAAGTAATAATTTCAGTTCTTCACATTGTACCTAATAGATTGCAAGGCATATGAGGACTTAATGTTGGGCTGTCTTAACATCCCAGACTCTGAGTCAAAATAATGTCAATATCATCACAATGGTATGATGGTAAATAACTAATTATAAAAGTCAATGAGACTAATGAAGGGATTAGGAGTTCAAGTGATAAGTCAGGTAGATCAATTTTATTATTTGATGTATAATAAAAATCTGCTTTACTATCTGTTCTCTATATGATATATGATCATAAAGCATAATACCAGCAATTACCAGAAACGCAGTTAATCCTGTTGTATTTACTACCCACAAAAGTTTTTCCTTAAAAAAAATTTTCCCAGACCCTTCTGAAGTTTATCTGCCATACAGACTTTGACTAGCACAATCAGCATAGCTCAGGCAAAGTTATATCTGAAGCTGTATTTATCAAAGCAGCTTTTTCTTCTTCAAAAGTTTGCAAAGAATAAGGCTGCTGCAGCTGGGTAGTGGTTTGTCAGCAAAATGAATTGACTTTTCTTAAGACAATAATTTCTTTCAGCTTGGAAAAAGCCTGCTAAGTGTACTTACAGGCAGAATCACTAAAGCAAAGAGTATTTTAGCTGCATCTTTCTCTGATTTAATATATCTTTTCATTTCCTCCATATTGTGTTAATTTGCACTGCCATCATTTATCAAGAGTAACACTCTTCGCTTTCTTTTTGTTTGTCTGTTTCTGTGCTTTTTTTACATACTACTCAATACAGGGAACGCCCTTTGTAGAAGGAACTCCCTTCCTGATCCCATGCCTGCTCCACAAAAATCAATTTTCTTTTAGAGGAGTTTTAAAGAGTGAATCAAGTATGGAAACATGGATGTGTTAAGGCATTAAGGCTTCCTGTATAATATGGAATACATGCAAATTTCACTTGTGCCTTCTTGCCTTTCTTCCCTTCTGTAAATCAAGATGAAAACTACCGGTGGAAGCAAGGGCACAGAGACTTTGAAGAATTAAGATGTTGATTTCTCTTACCATAACATACTATATATATTCCATAGGTGTTCCATAGGTAGCAATAGTAAGACCACCACTGCATTAGATTTCCCTCCACTACAAGGTTTTTAACCCCAGTGGTCATGGCATGTTGCTAAAGTCTTTGACAGCTTTTTAAATAAAAATAAAAACAGAAGAAAGACAATCTGTGTTCCATGACATGTGATGGGATAGAAGTGTTTAATTAATCAACAAGAATGCATTACCAAGACAGCAACACATGTTTTACATTATCTGTAAATGCACTGTAAGGTGAGAAGTAATTCATGTTGTGCCTGTTCTTGAGGGGGACAACATACTCTGATCCATAGTAATTCAAGGAGAGCTGGATAGGAGGGAAACATGGTTACAGAACCTCGTAAGACTCTTAATAATGAAAAATTCAAGTTAATTGTCTGACACAAGGAAGAGGTTCAAGACAGAAAAAAAGGCAAGACCTATTCTGAACATAACCTGCATTCCTTTTGTTCAAATATATTCTGCTTTTGCCATTTTAAACCTTTTCAAGTCTTCATTTTGAGGAGTGAAGAATAAATGGCTGAGCACTTTGGACAAAACCATCAGCTTAAAATAAGAAGTGTTTGTCTTTTCGTAAGAAGCATTTCCTGTTTTGTAAAATACTTTCTGCACATTGGCCCAAGGAAGCCAGTATTATACAGTCCATGTCCTGTTCTTGTTTATTACTTCATTAGATACACCATAGTGGTACTCATGGGCACCAGTGTAAAGCAGTAAAAAGGGTGTTTCCTATGGCTAAAAACTAGGAAAGGATTTGAATTCTTGATGATTTTGACAGTTGCTTTTTCAAAGGTTGCAGTTTCCTCATCTGGAAAATGGAGATATTGATATTGAATTCTTTTGTAAATGTCTCCTGCCAAAAATGCTGCATGGGACCTTGGTACTATGGTCTTTGTATCTTCTTAAAGTACATTGCAAACGTATTTTATAGAAGTAGTCCTGCTTCAGAGTCTAGGTTGTGAGAAGACAGGACTGATAGATGAGATAAATAAGTTGGCAGGGAAGAGGTGATGAAGCAAAAGTGAAGTGAATAGGTTATCTCTCATCAGTAAAAGTCTCAGTTCATCACTCACCAGACAACCTTTTGGTATAGATTTGTTTCTGATATGTTATGCTTTTAAATTTGTGTTTTCTGATTCAGTGCTCTGTTACTCCAGCTTGGAGCCAATACAGAAGGAAAGCTTGATTAATGTAGTAGCGGTGAGTCACTGTTGCAATACGTGTGTCCAACGGGGACAGAAAGAGGTTGTCCATTCAACCTTCACTCTGCACTCTCTGACAACCGAGAGCATCCTTATGCTTTCTTGTTGAAATCACACACATTTTACATTTAGTTCCTCCATTTTCAAAACGGAAGAAAGAGGGGGTTTTAACAAATAGTTTTGCTGTGTTAAGTTTAAAACAGGCTTTTAATACTGCCATGTTTAACCTATAAATGCTACAGTTAAAGAATTATTTTTCTCCTATACCCAGTATTTCTCACCTTCTCTTTGTCTGGCTTTGCTGTATCCTCTCATATCATGGCACTCACAAGGCTTGGCAATCAAAGAATCAGTGCCTTCCTAGCTTGTGCTCCCGTACCAGTATTTGGATCTCCAGTTGAAGTCTTCTTAGCACTTCATTCAGCAAAAGGTCAATCCTGGCTTAAGTTTTTAGGTGCTAGTGTTTTGCCTTCTCCTCTAATCATAAAAAGGAATGTGAGAGCATTCCAGTTGGTTGGAGAGGTTGTACACCTAGATACAACTTAGAAGAAAGAGCAGAGAATAACCAACTCATTTACATCGAGCACAAAAAGGTAGGAATAAGTTGTCTGCTTCAGGGATTATGAAATCTTTTTAAGTACTTCAAACGAAGTACAATGAGCATGGGGCAGTTGGCAGGCTCCTAGCTGCAGCTGTCAGATCCTGAAAATTAGGGAATCAAATGTTGACACTTAGAAGGCTAGATGGTTCAATTACAAGTGATCCTAGGTAAAGCTGTGATATTTTTAGCTCTTTACACAATGCATTGTACTTTTCAGAGTTCAGCATAGGGCCCCAAGAACCTAGACTTTCCTAAGGTATCAGAATAGAATAGTATCATAGCTGTGATTAGCTACAGTAGTTGAAATGAATATGTTTTTGAGAACGTGGCATAGAAAGTTCTATCAGCTTGTTAACATATATTTGAGGTTTGCATATTCATTTATGTAAGGAGTTTAATTTTTTTCATACAAATGCTCATCCATGCCTACCTGCCCCCTGGTAAAACAATATAAAAAAATGTTTCAATATGCAAACAAAGAAAACAGTCAGTCTTGGACCATAGATCTTGTCACTTTTCCTCTAAAACCGTCAGGTCCATCTGAATCCACCAGAACAGTTATCAAGCTCCAAACTAGGTGGATGGATTTCTAAGAGAATAGCTATAAAGGAGCTCACAACTCAAACATGAAGTGGTTTAAGCGAGGATCCAGCCTATATTATCCTATCAGTTTGCTGTCTTTCTCTCAACTTTTCACTAAGGTTCTAGGTACAGTTATATTTCTGTCTGTCAAAGGCTCCTTACACACGAAAATAGGAGAGTAGCTGGTAGTCAAGTTGTGAGAACAAAAGTGGCAAATCTGTAGGATTCTTACAGAAGCCAGAAGCTTTTTGTTGTAAGAAGTTAACCATAATTTAAGCCAAATGTATGCAGTGATTCAGACAAAACTGAACTGAACTGGATGCTCTTTCAGCACCCACTGGCATGAATAAATCATCAATTTTATTGATCTGTGCATTTTCAGTAATAACTGAAAATAATTTTTCATTATAAATATTCTGATTGATCCAAATTATTAGTAATGGCTACTTTAATACTTCTTTCCCGACCAGAAGCAAGTACTCCTAGAAGAGATATCCTACTTAATGCTAATGAAGAATTTTCCTGATTGATCTGTCCAATGAGCAGGCTGTAGGATACTTCCGTTTTAACAGATTGAGATAATACTGCTCGTATCTTCTAGAAGTTTGTCCTTCTATGTATGAGTTATTAACTATATCCCACAGTGGCTGTACTAGCTTAAATTTAGAGGCTCTTTGGAAAAAGTACTGAAAATCTGTCATGATCAGGAACTTTCCTAACTGAATTTTAATACTTTGGACAGCCTGTATCCCATTAATTGGTCTAGTTAGAAAATTAAAACATCTGTTCTCAAGTCTTAATAAAAATAGAGATAGTCAGCTAAGATTTTCTGCAATTATTGTGCTTATACAAATAATTGTATTAACAAAACGGTTTATTTGGAACCTTGTTTAGATTATGCTTTTCAGAAAGAATTTTTTTTACAGTTAATACTTTATTTTCTGTAGTACTTTTGTATGAAGAATATTTTGATTACTATAACACAATCAAATTGATACAGTAATCCAGCAAATACTATTTTTAAAGATTTGACTCAAAATTGAGGGATTAATCTGGGATTTGTTCTTTTCTGAAAACAAGCTTATCTATTTTCTCCTTTAATGATAATCTTAGAATAAGAACCTTATGAAAACTTCACATGGGGCAAATGTTAGTTTTAAGGAGACAAAATGATGGGCTTATAGTGAAAGCATAAGACTAAGCATTAGAGGGACTGGGCTTTGATCCCAGTTCAGCAGTGCACTGAAGCATGTGGTCAACATGCTTATGTTCTTTCCTGGGGGGGGGGGGTAACCCTCCAGCTTCTTCATGGTCCTGAAGAAGCCATTTTAATAGCCATGGTTCGATTTTGTCATATTTAGAATTGTCGTAATACCTAATTACTTCACAAAAGTGTGGTAAGACTTAATCTGGTGATAGTGATCTCTTTCAGATTGTAGTAAGTGGAGAAGCATAAAGTACTAGCATTGCTGGATTCTTTCAATAAAAATGGAACATAATACAGGAAAGCTGCCTAGGGATGCTCGATACCTGCATGCTGCAGGACATTACATGACAGGTCAAAGTCCTGTTTTCATTCACTCTATTTCATAATCTAGATTCCACGCTTGTTAGGTTACAGTCACCCATAAAAATAGCCAAGTCAAAAAGCATAATCTTTCTTTGCTTTCATTTGGATCGTTTTTATATCTCAGGGGGCTCTGACTCCGCTAGCAAACATGGGTTTCCAGGCTTGTTTACTTTAACTGCTAACTCAGTGCCAGCATTTGGTTCTTGTCCAGTCATTTAATCTTTGAAGCTTAAATAACTATTTGTGTTAAGTTGCTTGAGAAAGAAAAGCTTACTAGTGGACATAGCCTTGAATGGCACATCACTGTGGGTACTGACAGATCCATGGGAATTCTGTAGGTTGAGCCTGCTGAGTTTCTACGCAGGGAGTGGTTGACCTGGTCTATGGGAAAATGCTGCTGCACAAAAATTGATTCCTTTTGGTTAGTTAACTTTGAAGTGATATGGCTAGACAATGTTATTCTTTTGTGACCTATTCAAATTATTTAAAAGACCTTTTATGGCAGTAAAATACAATGTTTTATAGCATTTTAAGGGCTTGATTTTTCATCTACATATAGATGGGAGCGTGAGATGTATAAAGGTTCAGAAGTTATGCTTACACAAGTGAAAGCACTAGTATTTTACAAGAAGCTTATTTTCAATTTTTGGAAACCTACGGAATGATTCTCAACTTTTAGGCTGAAGAAACCTAATTTTGCTATAAGACCCCTACAAGCTGCTGATTGAAGTGTAGTCAAATCTAGTAACTCCAGCTCTGAATTTGGCCCTGGATCTAAAGAAGCCTTCAGTTAGTGAGATTTTGAGGGGCTGATCTGTGCTGCCTTTGGAGTAGGTGAAGTCTTTTGAAAATTCTGCCTAACTATTGATTGATTTTCTACATATATTATCATTTTGCTACAGTTGTTTATATCTTGTTTTACCTTGTTTGCTGCAATAAAAGCTATGTGAAAGGTTAAGTTTGCTTTTAAAAAGCCAAAGATTGTGATAAAAGATAAACATTCATCTCCTAAAATGGATAGCTTTTGCATGTCAATATAAATAACCTGTAGTTTGTTTTGGATGAAATTTTTATTATCTAGTCCTAACTTAATCAACTAATAATAGAACATAGGTAGAATCAGTTCTTTAATCAGCAAGATTCTTTGACTTCCATTGTGAAATACATTATGCCTTGAATATTGAATATGCAAATACTTTACCTCCCACTTGAGCTATTTTCAAGACCTTAAAAGTAGCTATAGAAGTGGATAATAGTTTGCTTTTCATCCTGGGATAAACTGACAGAAAATCGTTCAGATTTGATAGCTGTATGTGGTCACATATTAAGTAAGTTTAATCCTTTACATAGTTCTTTACTATATTCCACTGGTCAAATGAAATATCTCAGGAACTACTCGATCAAGACATACGACTGTGCTTCCCTTAAATTTTCCTCAGTTAATTGGAGATTGTATTTATACTTTTATAATCTCTTGAAAATCACAGATAACTTGGTATTGTCTAAGCAATTAAAAAAAAAAGCCTTTTGTATTAACTAGGAGGATATACTTGAATTTGCTATGAAAAATAATTAATTCTGGTAATACTATATTAAGTGTGCCAGTAATATAACAAAGACAGTATGACAGTAACAGAACTGCCTCCGCTGTGCAGTGCTGTGGCTTAGGTGACCTTGTCTATCCTTGTCCTAGGTAGTACGCACAATGTAAAATGGTATTCCAAAGCCACACATAGTCCAATCTGCATAGAGCACATTGAGTAATTTGTGGGTTTGTTCTTTCACCAAAAACGTTTATAGCTTTTGGCTTTAAAAATAGTTCTGGAGCATAGCAAGAGAGAAGCAGCTTTGGCCTAGATATTGCACAGGATGGCAGATGAACAGGGTTGATTTCATTTTGGGCATTTTGCCCAGGACACTTTTTATAGAACATACAGTTACTCTGGGGGTTCTTAGGCTGTGGTCACATTGGTTTTTTGGATTTATACTTTAGAAGGGAGAGGCATAATTTTGCAAAAAGAAAAATTCATGTAAATTTCAAAATCTAAGTTCTTTTATGTTTGAGTTTTAAACTTGTATCAGTGATAGTGGGACTATATTTTCTCCTCGGGGCTGCCTGTTTTATGCGCACTCTGCAGATGCTGAAGCCCTCCTCATTAAGGAACATTCTGAAGCCTGTTCTTACATCATTTACTCTAATAAATTTTATTTGCTTTCCATCTCTGGATCTGAATGCATTTTTGAGCTGTGACTGGCATTTGCCTTATAGCTCTCGCATAAAATATTAGAATAAGAGCTAAGCCTGTCTGACAGATGGAAAACATTAAGGCAAAGAAAAATATTACATGTTTGTTTCAACACCTGGTATTTCATACGTGTTACAAATTGAGCACACATGGATTCAGATGTAAATTAGCTAAGGCTGTTGATCTGTGAGGATATGTATTATTTTACTTAGTCTTTAATAAAAATATAAATTCTCCATTTTTAGATTTTGAGTGAAATAGATACTGCACTTCTCTGCTTCTGTGTAGGGACTCTGCTTTTATTTTCCTGGTTTTACAAACTTAGCCAGTGATACCGTTTAGGTCTGCAAGAGTCAAGAAAAGAGAACAACAAAATTTAACTATTGAGAACTAGCATTTAAAAAGAAAGATGGTCTTTTCCCAGGCCCTCTTCTGTTCCAGTTTTTCTGCACTTTCTCATCATGTTTCTTAGTCTGCAGAGCTCTTTGGGGTTACACACTGCTGATGTGGTGCTCTGTTGCAAGTGCAAATTACTATTACATTAACATTTTTTTATTATCCATGATTCTCACAACATTTTGCAAAGAGTAATTACTTTTCCAACTGTCAAATGGTGGTAAGCAGAACTGAATGATCTCACTATTACAAATGAGTGAGCTGGGACAGAAGGCAATAGAGCTGGTTTTCTTGATCTCACTCAGTGAACAAATGCAGAGCTGAAAATAAATAGACCCTGGGAATCCTGAATTCCAGTTCTCTGTTCTAAACACTTAATCTTCAATATGCAGTCCAAATAGGATAATTACATTTATATAGCAACAGTCTGTGATAAGGCCCTTTTTTGCTTTAAGTTAAATGATATTTCTGTTCTCTGTCTTTCCAGTTTAAACACTATGTTAATAAGCTCCGGAGCAAGAACACATTTTATAAAAAGAAGCGACTGGAAATAGCAGAAATTACAGCTGAGTATGGTATCCTCCAGAGGACAGAAGAACTTCTAAAACAGCGCCACGAGGCTATTCAGCAGCAGTTGGTAATACAAGCATTTACTGCTCCCACAGTCCATCACCCTTCTTTCCCTGATAATAGCTATATAATAAGATGAATGTTGTTTTGTTAGATTCTAATGTATATCATCCTCAGCTCTCCTGCTGTCATTAGTAAGAGAGTCATTACGGTATAAAATTTATTTTTGTTTGTTGATTATGCTAAGCTTCTGTACTTCATGTTCAGCAACTGTTTCTTACAGGCAGTCAGGACTGTTGTGCAGTTTCTTTTTAGACTGAGGGGCTTGACCCTGCATTTTAAAGTCAATGGTAAATCTTCACTAACTCCTGTTACAGCAAGGCTGGTTTCTTAAATTAGTTTTTGGTATCCACATACATAGTAAGGGCTTTGAAAATTATCAGCAGCAAGCAGGACTCAAATTACTGCTGCAAAAAATATAGGAATAGTATTTAAAAAAAGAGTGGACAGGAAGGAAATGTTCTAACCCCAGAATATTTAGAAGAAAATGCATTTCGCAGTCAGTGAAAAATTTAAAACCAGATGAATGCTTTTTCTAAACCAGAATAGCAGGAGAAAGATTTCTGCTATGCATAACTAAGCATTCAGGGAATATACATGCATCCCAAATGCAGTACTACTGCTGTAGTATTTTCTTCCAATACCAGTAGTCTTGTTATCAAAATATTGTGTTTCATCTATATCTGGTTTGTTAAATGTACATATTTTGCATTTTTAAACATAAAGGTATTTACCTTATTAAAAGAAAATTGGAAGTGTGAAAATACATGGGATAGACTTTGGAAAGATACTCCCATAGATGCAGTGGATGATGTCATGCTATTTCAGTAGGGCATTCATTGTTTAATTAAAAATAAAACCAGAACTGCTACCTGGGTAGAAAGAAGCACCTAAGTAGTAGGATCAGAGCTTTTTCTGGTGATTGCTCCTCAGCTAGAAGGAAGGTGAAGAAACACGAACGTTTATTTATAGCAGGATAACTAAGGTACACTAGTCATCTCACAGGAAAATCACAGCAGAGACAAAGCGCTAGAAGTTTTTTTGTGAAATGGCTACACATGGTCAACAGTATATTCTCATTCAAGTCTGACCTTTTCTAAACTACCTTGCAGTAAAACTACAGAGCTTTGACTTCATCAAGTTCTTACCACCCATAGAATCAAATATACTTTTTCAAGCCCTGTCAAACAACACACTGCTGTTAAAGTCTACAAAATGCTCCCATCATGGTAGCAGTAGCTATTAGTAGAGTTAAATCTTTTCTTAAACATATGGTTGTAAAAGGTTTTTGAGGATAATGGACTTGGAGTTCATAGACACATGGCATTTTTAAGAAGGAATGTTTTGCATTTTAACAAATTGTGCATACGTAAATCAACGCTTAGCTTTCAGATTTCAGCAAATACCCTCCTTACGTACTTAATAAGCAAGCATTGCTAAAGACCATTACATCAACATATAATTAAATGTAAAGTTTATGTAATATAATGCTAGAATTTGGTAAGATGGTATTAGTATTACTATAACGAATACAATAATTAACTTAGATTTACTTGACCTGTTTAAAAAATAAGTTAGCTACATCTTCAGATTAAGCATCTGGATTTTACACATTGAACCTCTTCAGAGCCTGACCTAAAGACCACTTCACTTTGTGGAAACTTTCTGGTAATTTCACTGGGCATTGGATGACCAAATAGTGTATTTACAGAAAGCTGTCATTATCCTACTGTACAGGCACTAGATAAAAAGTTAGTTTTTCTGGCAGATAGATTATTAATCACTTTTAAAATAAATTGACTACAGTACTTATCTTTTCCGCTTTCTTACAATATTTTGGCTCTATGAAGGAATTTGCTATGTTACTTGATTAATGAACTCACACTCAGCATTTATTTTTTGTGTCTGCAGCAAGCTATTGAAGACAAGAAAGGTATTTCTGGATATAGTTACACCCAGGAGGAGCTGGAAAGAGTATCTGCAGTAAAGAGTGAAATGGATGAAAAGAAAGGCCGGACACTAGATAACATGTCTGAAATGGTGATTTTTGTCTTAAACTATTGTATTTCCTTAATTTGAGTATCATCTGGTTCCTCAGCATAGAAACCAAGTTTAATATTTTTGTTTGGGGTTTTAATTTTCTTTTAATCTATGTTTATATAATAAAAAAATTTCAAACAGTATACATCTGCACAGGTAATCTTGAAAAAGTTTACTAAAATGTGCATTTCTTTTAATTTAGAATTATAAAAAAAATAAATCCTACAAATAAATCCTACTTTCCTCCCCTTCAGAAACATAAGGGATATCAAGTCTTGTCATCTTTGGTTTTTTACTTTTTTTTATTTCAGAAGTGGTTTCATATTTGTTCTCGCACATTATTTGAAAGAGACAAATGGTTTGAATCTTTAACTGAATCTTTTTCTAAAATATTTATAAATCACTGGAGTTAAGCATTTGTTAAAAAATACTTAATATGTCTAAAGAGCTAAATATCTTGTCTTTTTCTCTATACCCTAATTTTCAGTTGCGCTTAGAAATGTCATGTTTTAATTTAACTTCCCACATAGCCATAGAAGCAAGACAGAACTTGAATTTCTAATTTGAAAATATTATAAAAGAGCAAAAAGCAAAATAGCATTCTCTGAAATCATGAGGGCACTTTTAAAATAAAGCAGTATAATTAAAACAGAATGACTCTCAAATAGAAAGCTGGATCAAATTCAAATTTTTAGTATAAATACTTTAAAGTGACTCTGTTTTAGTATTTTCAAACTCTATTTAACCTATGCAGGTTTGTTTGTTTGTTTTCTTAAGGATTTCTTCCTTTCTCTCAGTCCACCTCTAAGCAACTCCTTCATTTTCCCCTACTCCTTAAGCTCTTTAGGTGTCTGGCACAGATGCTGTCTTCTGGACTTCGCTGTGATGTTCTCAGTTGAAACAATGGGAGCAGAGTTTGTCTCATTTGTGGTAATGACGCCACTGCAAGATGGGCTCTTTCCCTTCGTTAATTAGACCTGAACTTATGTTATATATAGTTCAGGCTTTCATTGCACATTTTTTCTCTCCGTATTTTGATTTCTTTCCCTTTCTTTTCACATTCCTAATTATATAAATGCACTATTAGTATCATAATGTTAATGTATATTATTTTGTCCCTCTTTCAGGTAAAAAAACTTAACATTATGGTGGCAGAGAAGAAGGCAAGCCTAGCTCCTGTTATCAAAGAACTGAGGCAGTTGCGTCAAAAGTGCCAGGTTAGTAGAAACACTTCTCTCATTCTATGTAAATAAAGTCAGAATCACAAATAAGTCTAATTTACGGATCTCTGTAGTGCTGTACAAGGACATAATCAACTTTGAAGGAAAGCTGGAAATAGCAGAATGGGTCAACAGTGATTTGCAACAGGCAACATGTTAAAGACTGGAATTCGTAAAAGCGGACGGTGCAGGCACAAAATCATGCTGTCCATTATAGCAATTAAAAAAATTACTACACCAGGGGAAAATATAAAAAATCATGGTTCAAAACCATAGCAAAGTTAGTTTTCAAATTGGTTTCAAAGGTTTTTCTGCATCTCAGCACTAATGATCTCAACTAATGCTCTCCTTTTTAAATGGATTGCAAATAATATCCAAATAGTTGAATACATTGATCTAATTCCTATATTAGTCTGTAGGAATGACAGATTTATCCATTTGTTTTCAAAATTTTATAGAGAGCTGAAAAAAAAAAAAATTCAGGTCCACAGCTGCTGTAAGTTGGCTCATTGCCATAGAAGTAAATAGAGCTATCCATTTATCTATCAACTACATTTCCAGAAAATTTTTAATGGTTCTAGTAAGTGTCAGCAAATGAAACCCAGCTAAGGCATTTGTTGTGTACTACTATAAAGCTGGCTTTTCATAGGTAGCAAGTATATTGATCCTTTCTTAATCTCTATTTTTATCATTATTTTTCCTTTCTTCTTACAAACACTGCCCTATTAACCTACCATGTTAAAGCTGTGGATGTGGCTGTAAAGAGGAAATTTGCATGCTATGTTGTGGTGTATACAGCTGATCCTCCAGTATGCAAGCGGAGGCTAGTGGCTTCCCCGTGTGTAATAATACCCGTGTGCCTGCTAGGTTTATGTAAGTGTCTGTGAGTGTGCCAATAGCTGAGGTTGGTGTGTGGGACCAACAAGAACACAGTCTGCCTGAATGTCACATGTCAGTCAATTGAAGATTTCATTTATGTACCCTTTTGCCCTTTTCACATAAGGAATTAACTCAAGAATGTGATGAAAAAAAAATCCAATACGACAGTTGTGCAGCAGGGTTAGAGAGCAATCGCTCTACACTGGAACAGGTAAGATGGTGGCGTGTTCATGCATATTAATAAATGCTGTGCAACCTGTTATTTACTATGGTACGGTATTTTCCCTGCCTTCCCTCTGGATACAGAAAGTACAAATCCACTTCAGGTGGAAATGAGTCAATGGTGATCCACAAATATGCAAATCATGCCTGAAGCTGCTGTGGACTAGCTGCAGTCACACAAATCTCCTCTTCTGAATAGCAGCAAATGAACTCAGCAGTATGTCAATCCATCCACTGATGTCCAGATTTGATTAGCAAGGATATTGTAAAAGAAGACACATCTGCTGGAAATCCTTCTGACCTAGAGAGTATCTGTTAGAAAAGAATTTGACCATAAGATGAGGATTAGTTTATGAAGACAAATCTTTATATTTGTTTAGCAGATTCATTAAATTAGCAACCAATCCAATACATAATTAATGCACTGAAATTGATGGCAAGGATACATCATTAAATGTGACTGTCCTGTATTCTTGCATACAACAGTTTTTTAAAAATACAACCATACAGGTGTAGCTAAGAGCTTGTGTGTATGTAGTTTATGCATTACTTGAACTATAGCACTTTTAGGAGGGAAGGTACTTAAACCAGCGCAATCCTTTAAGGTGGGGTCAGTATTAATATGTTGATATGAATCTGCTTTATCTCACTAGATCACCTCCTGTGAATTTTGTCTGGACTTGATTTTTCAAGGCCTTGCACACATAAGGAATATATTTCAAAATAAAAAAGTTGTACAATTAAAGTGTGGGTGGATATATAGATAATTCTTTTCCTGTACTAAAAGTACCTTTGTATAGCTTAATCCAAGCAAAATAAAAGAATCCATAGATAAACCTACTATGAAGTACACCTTCCATAAGAACTATTTTACAATAGCAATCAAGGCTTTTTTTCTTGGCACACAAATCTAAGTCATTTTCTAACACATGATGACAATCACATCCACTGATTAAGCTGGACATGAGTGTCAGCAAACTCTTGCAGTTGAACAGTAGAATTCAGTATTCCAGCTGATGGTCTGAAAAGCACACGGTGATGGAGCTTGAGTTGACAACTGCTGTGTGACCTGGGGTACATGAATTCCACTTGGATTATTAGGGTTTTTTGGTATGGACCATTTAGAGATGGGAATAACCCACTTTCTCCATACTCCTCAACATAATTATCGATTACTAATTAACATACTATTAACACGTCTGTAGCTTTTAACATACGTTTTGCAGATGTGTTCCAGGAAATGCTTATTCACAACTGTATTTAGCACTTATGATGTGCTTAGGAACAAGAGTCTTGGCAGCACTTGTGAAGTGTCTTTTAGAAGTCAGTCGTATTAATAAACACCTATTAACAATCATTTAACATCTTTAACTGTGACTGAAACTGCAAATCTCAAAAAATCAAGTGTCTTTAAAAGAGACTTCTGTAAAGCCCAATTATATAAATATTTAAGAAATTATCAATTCAGTATTATGCCTGTTTCTATTATGGACTCTCCTGGTTTATATAGCAACTCAGGGCTTCTCCTGTGGACTTTCAGTTACGATGTCCTTTGAAATCTCATTCTTGTACTACAGGAAGTGAAAGGACTTCTTGAGGAGTGTGTTCAGGAAGAAAGCAACTACCATTATATTAACTGCATGAAAAGGGTAAGATCACAAGAGAGACCAAATTATTCATTGTGAAATTAAATAGCAATTATAATTTTTTTTTTTTAAATTATGTTTCTTTATAGAATCTAGAAATACAGCTGCAGCGTGCTAAAGAAGAAATGAAGGCATACGTCTCCCCAGATCCACAGGAGAGACGGAAGGCAATTCGGTAAGTGTATTAATGTGTTTTGTGTTTCCTTTGTGTAAACTTGAAGGATATTCATAAACTGAGGTTGAAGTTAGGAATTTTCTCACTGGCATTTGAACTGGAGGACTTCACCTGCTAAATTTAGAAACACTATAATAATCTAAAAATAAGCATCTCGAATTCCAGTATATACTGCTGTAAACCTATGAGTTGTCTCAGACATACCAAAAGATTTTCCCTTCCTGCTGGAGATTATAGGCCCCAGATAGTGGTTTTAACTTGCAGTCCCTGTTGGCACAAGCTCAGAGAAGCTGTGCTTCAGCTAGGTCCTGCAGGAAGTGTGGCTCTACCAGACATAATACCTCTGCCAAGTTTCCCCTTGAGACTCCAGCGTGCAGGAGTAGAAGGTCTACCACCTCTCAGAGAGCAACCATATGCTGCCCTCAGATTATGGCCATTTCTTGCAAATCTTCTACTCTTCTTTCAAGTATAATAGCTATTGCTGTTACCAGTACAGGAATGGAGGACTGCATATACTCATCGTAAATGGATTTTGGTTTGCTCCCGTTTGTCGTTCTTACTGGAGGTAGAATGAATGCTGTTCTGCACCATCACACTAACCTTCATCTTTACATTCAATTTAATTTACTCCAATATAAAAACAGTTGCTTCATCCTGTCAGTTTTTTCAGGACCCCTTGCCTTTGCCTGGTATGGAGAGAAGCAGAAAAGATTATGAATTGAACTGATCATTTTGTTTGTGTAGTTTTCTATTTTAAATGTTGCAGTCCTGCCAAAGATCGAAACATTTTCTGAGAATGAGATATTTTGGATTAATTATCTGTGCTAAGAAGTCTAAATGTTACCATGTCATATAGATTTTTTACACTTTACTGCATACTAAATATTTTTGCAAAAGTATCCTGTTTAAAATTTTGAATATGTTCAGTCTTTTAATACAATAGAAAAGTTGAAACAAAATTCAGGCAATAAAGTCAACAAGCTGGTTCAGCCCCATCAAAATGAAACATCAGGAAAATCCAAAACAAACTTTTATAATTTCCACTTGGTGAAAGTGTCAAAATACCTGCTTTTTATTCTGTGTAATTAGTTTTTTTAAATTTCAGAATTTTGCATGAAATAGAAATTCTGTTTTCCAGCTAGTTTTATCTTTGACAAAAAAAAAAAACACCTTAGATCCTAGCTGTTGACAAAATAAACAAGCTTAAATTGTCGTCACTAGTTTTACAAAGTCATCTTTGGCTTTCACACCACAGTATTTCTCAGTCATGAAAATATTTATCAAAACAGTAGTTTTAAAATTTATGTTTGCTGGGTTTGATCAAGGGTCTTTTTGGTTTATCTTTTAATGAATGGAATGAGTGAAAAACACTCTGATGTTTTGAAAGTAGCATTGGGTCTTCTTAAAGGTGTAGTCATTACTGTACCAAGGAATCTCCACAGAGTATATCATTCCTAGTTCAGTGCAGAGGGGGCATCAGCTCTGCCTGCTTCCTCTCCATCTCACAGTCTGCATCAATCAGCATTCCTACAGTTTGCTTTATTGCTTAGGCTTTAAAAAGCCACAGCAATATGATTCCTTGATGTGAGGCCTCTTCTTAGATTTCTACATTTGTATTTCAGTGACAAGACAGATTGTTGCCTGAGATCTGTGTAATCTGTCATGTCAGAGCTGTGGTTCATGTACAGTCTTCTGTACAATGTGCCAAAATTCTTCAGAAAATTGTCCCATTCACAAAACAATTTAAAAGCATGACTGAGTGGCAAAGCAAAGATAGAGCTGCTTAATTAGATAATTAATAATCATTCTACACTCCATTTGAAAGCTTCAGACCATCCAGTGTGCTGACATCACAACAGGAAAAGAGAACCAGTAGTTGTCTGCCACTTCTCAAAGGAGGTGGAAGAATAAATTAATTTCCCTAGATATCTGTCCTCTTAGGACTTTTTACCTTTCAGAACAACTTCTGGACCTTTCTGTTGCAGTGGTGGCGATGAGGGAAGCACCGTTAATTGGTAGTATACATAATCAAATGTCATTCAGTATCACCAGAGGCAATTTCTTCACTCACTGTGGAGTGAAAAAAGGCAGTAGTTGACCGCTAAGATTTTACGGGCTCTGGAATGGGGCCATTGACAAGGATAGCGATGTGTCTGAGTGAGAAAACTCCAGGGATTCCCTCAGGAGACACTGAGAGATGAGGTTGTCTTCATCAGATCCTTCATGAACTAGAAGTTGTCCCGATGGTACCAGTGGAGCTGCATCTCCTGCTGTTCTAGAACATGAGGCAGAGATCACTAGGAAATGAAGGGCTCAATTAATTCCATCACAGAGACCTTCTGCAAGGATCTGAGGCATGGAAATGTTTAAACACTATGTAGTGAACAATGTAGGAAAAAATAAGAGTAAGTAAAGAATCCAAACTACTAATGTTAGGGTGGGAGAAGAAAAGGAGGAGGAGATAGAATGTGAGTGGAGGCTAAGAAGCCTCTTTATCTTACAAAATAGTGGAAAGCTGCACGAAATAAAAGATTTATCTAATGAAAGATGAAAAAACAGCAAAATTAAGCAGCAGGATGAAAAGAGAAGTGGCTGTGAGGAAAATCTTACTGATTATGTGAATATTCATTAGTATGGAAAGCAACACAGCTCAACCAAGCAGCTGAGAGGAAATGCGGGTCAAACAGCAGGCACTGTCCTTTTATGGCCTCGCAGGGAAGGGGAGGGTCCGAGTTTATTCACAGATGGTCAGCAAAAAATGCTCTAAGTCAAATACGTGTGCAATGAACATCCACAATGTGAGTACTCACACAGACAAGCCATCAAAGCCAAATGCTGGAATTAAGCGTGAGTCCAGCTCTGTAATTCCAGGTATGGTGAGGAGAATGTGAACGGAGCATTACCACTCTCTCCGCTGTCCCTGTTTCACTTGCTAACTGTGGGCACAGAAGCTAGGGAAATTATCCTCTCACAGTGACTATACACGTATTTGACCTTCTGTAAGATGTCACAGACCCATCGCATTTGAATGAATTACAGCAAAGTTCAGTATAGAGGACTTTGCAAAATATAAAATGAGACAATAATTTTTTTTTCTAGACATCCTTTTAGAATGTGAATGTATTTTTCAGCAGGCACTGGAATGTAAACGGAGTGAAAATGAACCATAAATATAACAGCACTTTCCTAACAAGGTATTGAACAAAAAATGTCTCAATTCCAACCCTCTTTATTGAATATAAACTCTGTTCCGTGGAGTCACTTCTTAGGAATGTGAAAAGTTAATTTTCTTCTCTAAATCTTCTCTAAAAATAGAAAGTAGTGTTTTTTTAATGAAGTTATTAAGTTGCATTCTTTCCAGTCATCATTATAAATAGTAAAGAAAAACTTACTAGGAAAGACATCTAATCTTCCGATGATTACTTTGAAAACTCTACTTTAAAAAAAAAAAAGTACATTCTTGAGGCCAAATGTGTGTGAACATACGCTGCGTGCCAGTGGAAATACGAAGATTCAGTGTGGCTTTCCATCTCTTTGATTTGGTGAGGATTGCTAGGGATCAGCTGTGCAGCACAGCACTTGGAGCAGCCTCAAGACGGCTCTGATTTGTTCTGGCTAGAACTGTCCAAGAGTGCGAGATCAGAAAATGATCCAGCTTTGTTCCTTGCATGTCTGTTCTGCAGGCAGTACAGCAGGCAGGGCCCAGGTGGCCAGGGGCCCAAGTGCTCCAGTCAAAAGCCTGGCATACTTAGTCGAAATGGAAGGAATATAAGAAACGCAATGCGTTGGTTCTGCACGACTTCTCACCATGCTCTAGCAAACCTTCACACCTTGGTATCATGAAGGCTGATATTTCTTTCTGGAAAATAGGATTTCTCTATGCAATGTTCTCCTACCCTGAGCAATTTGGAAAGTTCTTTACATGAGTTGGGTTATTTTGAATTCCGCTAGCAAACTCTCAACCTCTAAGTGTACCTGTTACACACAAAGTGTAGTAATTGATTTTTTTTTCAAGTGAATCAGTGAAGAGATTTTTTTATTGTCACATTTCAAAATATTTTAAAATAAGTACATAGTAATGTATCTGAATCGTGCTGTTATTAAGGTTTGCATATTATATTGTCAGGTTTCATGTATCAAGTTTGCATATGTCAGAAAGTGATCCAGCCACTTGTTACAGACAAAGGTGTACAGCCAAGATTTTTAATAATGAAATGTCATCAGTTATGCTTCTAAGCCTATATTTAGGCACCTAAATGTGACGGCTGTTTTCTGAAAGCGAGGAACGCGCAGCGGTTCCATTGCAGTCACTGGATTTGTCAAACCTGTGGTGAAATACTATTCCCCTTCATTCCTGTATTTTCCCACTCATTCTAACACCACATTCACAGCAATTAAGGGCTGTGGATTCGTAAACTCTGATGCTTGTACAAATGAGGCCACTGGCTGACCTCAGAATATCACCAGGATAAATGCACTATTAAAAAGGGATCAAGTATATCTTACCTAAATGATCTTGCTGCTGTTCCTTGCTGGAAGGAGTGGCAATCATGCCTGCTTCAAAAATGTAAGAGATCTTACCCAATATCACTTTTCCCAACTGCACAACTGAGAGAATCAGAGAGATCTGAGCCTTGATGTCATGGGATATGTTGTCCAATGACAAAAAGGTTTCTTCATGCTTTCTCTTCTATCTCATTTATGTACCTCCCAATATTTTCATAATTTTCCATGCTTGCATCATTGTTCTGTCCTATTACATAGAACCAAATAAAATCATAATAAAATTATTTTCTGTTTCCTTCAGAGAACAGTATACACGGATGATCCTTGAACAAGAAAACCTTGGGAAGGTAAGAATGAGGTTTTTACCTTGTAAAAACATTGTACAGTTCATAGTTTTGTGGGGCTTATTAGTAAAGACTGTGGTCAGTCTTTTATAAAAAGCATATTGCAGCCTACAAAGCAAATTCCATTACTGCTGGCATTGGTAACTAATACCCTGAAAAGAGATCATGCTCGCTCTTCAGGGCTTGATTTCCTGCAGAGTATAGCATGAGCCGCTTGTAAAAGATAGTCAAACAGCTTAACGTGACAGCACATTCCCTGAAAACCATTTGGATAAGAAACTGAAACATGGACATAACAAACTGTGCCAGCTGAAATTTTATGTTGTATATAAAGCAACCTGTTGAAGACAATAAATTTTGAGCCTGTCAGCCTTATCACTGTTATTAAAGGCCAGGGGATCATCAGCGCAGCAGTGTTAAACAAAAGCAGTTGTCCATTTTTAATCTTGTATGAAGCTCAGATCAGCATGGATGAGGTTAGGCTTACCAATTCACACTAAACATCTTTCTTTTATTAGTTTCCTTCTTATGAGTCAGTCTGTGAGCGATTTTTACAGGTTTGGGCTATTAATAATCAGTAGCAGGTTTAATTGTAAAACGTTGATTTCATGTTTATAGTATCATTATATGAATCCATTGCAGGTTGCAACTTGATATTGCAAGAGTTCTGTATATAAGTGAACTCAAATTTTTAGCATAACTTTTCAAATAGATAAGACTACTATTCAGACAGTTTTAAAACATTTAAATAATTGTCAATCTGTACAAAGCAGATATCAGAGTCCCAGGCGTTAATGCATTTATCAGTTGCAAGGAGTGTTATAAACTTGAACAAAATAATACTTCAGTAGCATATAAAAATCTTTGTCATTCCAAGCTGCCCATGTAAGCAATTTTTGTGGCTTGGAACAGTTCCAGAAATCTAATATTTTTGTATTTTTAACAGAAATTACGAGAGAAGCAGAAAGTTGTACGGGAAAGTCATGGGCCAAACATGAAGCAAATTAAAATGTGGCAGGATTTTGAGCAGTTAATGGAATGTAAGAGAGAATGTTTTCTGAAACAACAAAATCAAACTGCCATTGGTCAAGTCATTCAGGAAGGAGGTAAAGATAGGCTTGTATTATGAATTCTTCCTTCTTGATACCAACATAAAGTAGGAAGACAGCGTGTTGGCTTCTTAAAGGTAACCTCTTACTAAATATTGCTGCTTTCGTCATTTCTACATAAATTTGTTGTACATTATTTGGTTTTGGTGGATAAACAAAGAGCACAACTAACCACTCTACGAAGCTTTTCCTCCATTGTTTAAGTGACAACATAACGCGGTTGGGAAGATCTGTTACGAGAGCTGCACTAGGGTGAACCTCATCGTAAATCTTTGTTTTATGAGGCTGGGAATGGCATGCATCTGCAGAGAGATCAAAGGAAAAGAAATCCTTCTCCAGGGTCACAGAAAACTTATGTAATTGCTCTGCTCCTTATTCTGTATCATCTAAGGTTACATTTTTGCAAGGCCTGGGACTTGATATTGTATAATTGTGGACCTCCTGGCTTGGCCCTCTCCTTCCCTATTGTCTTTATTCATCTAGTGTGACTGGCAAGAATGGAGCCATTTTCGCTCTGAGCTGCACAGACCTTGCCTGCACACTCCTAGTCATACTTTCCTTGCACGGTTGAATTAAACTGATTGTGCTTCCAGGAGACAGTTCATTGCTACAGTGTCAGGAGTAGGTTCAGAGAACAATTACTTGGATTCTGAACTTTTTCCAGTATCTTTTGTTGTTGTTTTTAACAAATATATTTTTCTTGCACATATACCGTCTTCTAATTTTGCTGAGTTGCCCACATGAAAGTGTAAATGGTGGTTGACTAACGGCTTTCTCCACTGAGGACATTTTGTGCTGTTTTGTCTGTGCAGTGTGGTTCAAAAGTGATTACGCTACCCAAAGAGGATCATCCCAGGGATGGAGGGTTATTGATGGATGTAAATATGGCACAGGGGTTTGTGCATATATTAGGGCATGCAAAACAGGTAAATAGGCAAGGCTGCTGTGTACTCTGGCTTTGATCTGTGAGCTACAGGCAACTGTCACTGCCCTTAAAATTGCATCATGAGACCCACAGCTGACCCGGTGTAAGAGGAAAGTAGGTGAGGCTTGAAACTGTCCCTCACGCTTCATCGTCTCGGATGAGCGCCTCTTAGCCACAATCAAAGATCAGAAGCAGAGAGATAAGTCTGCGGGACCAGAACTCTTGCTATTCTTCTTTAGTCTCTTGGCTTATTGAATTTCTAGATAGGGTTGGGGGTTTTTTTTTGGTTTTTCCTGCCTGAAGTCGAATGTCTTTTCAGGACATAAAAAATAATTTTGCTTTCTCTGGTACCTAACTATGAGATCTTCTGCTGTTTTCTATATTAAGAGAGAGTATGGTAATTATATATCATTCCTAGTTTGCCTTTGCATTAAATGTATTTGTTAACAGAACTAAAATTAAATCTGATGACTACATTTTGACTGTATGGTATTCTTTTTTTTCCATTTCTTAGGTGAAAGAAGGTAAATTGTTAGTGACAGGTAGCTTGCTGGGCCACAGGAAAAATTGGTTTGAATGGGTCATTTAGTGAAATTTCTTTCTTTAAGGTGCCCCCAAAGGGTTTAAAATTGCAGTGTATGTGTAAGGAGTGGGTCTCAGATCCATGGAATCCCAGGACATCCTCATGTAAGCCCTCCCACGCTGCTGAATAGCTGAAGATAGTCTTTCTCAACAGCTGCACACTAATCTTACCCAGGACAAGGAGAAGCAGCACATTTTCCCCTACGCACATTTTCAGCGAGTGTGGAAGGAAAGCTGTGGTGTAGGACATAGGCACAGGTAGAGTTGGCCGGGGTGGGGAGAATGTGCACCGCTGCCACCACCCGCTGCTTGCATGAGTTTATTACTTTCCACGGCAGGAGAACGGGCTTTAATAAGGCACTGAAGGGAGCCCATATCGATCTGGAAGGGAGAAGCTCAGGAAAAGGACATATGCAGACTATGTAGTGTGGGCACAGCCATCTCCAGAGACAGCTATACCTTTTTCTCCCTGCTAGCCCTGATTACCATACTTCACCTGAATTGCACTGTAGGGCCCGCTGAGCTGAAGAAAGTTATGGTAGTCACGTACCTGGACTTCCAAAGGAGGGTTTTGCTGATTACTTGCCAGCAATAGTAAACCAGCACAGACAACTAGATGAAAGACATGCTGAAAACATGGGATAATCACCAAAAATGGGCATTTAGGTTACTTAAGAACCAGCCTGTATGGTTCAGAGTCACCAGACAGACCATGAGAAAGGAGATTTTATATACTTCAAGTAAAAACTTTTAACAAAACCCTAGAAACCCTATTTGATTGGACCATTTACGCAAAGGTGTATTACATGGATTAGCCTGCTGCCCAGGGAAAAGCAATGCTTTTGAAATTGATAGCAATGATGTAGACTAAGATTGAGTATAATAATTTTCTGGTTTTCTGTTCAGAGTTACCCTAAATATAGTTCATCTTTCTTCCTTGTAAAAACACTTTATTGCTAGTTACTCAAAGATGACGTGATTGTTGTTCTGATCTGATTAGTGTTCTGTCATTTGTACTGCACCAAGAAAGGGCACACAGATTATACACTACAGCAGCAGCAAAATGACTTTCTGAGATGAAGCAGAAAATCATAATAACTGTTATGAAAAGAAAACTGGAAAAACTCAAATGCTATTTTTAGCTTTTTATACAAGTGGACATTTAATAAATGCAACTTTAATGGATTCTGTTCACTGGCTTTTCCACCTAGTTCATGATTTGATGGGAGCGTTCAAAAACCTTTCAATTTCACAGTTTTATCTTTACTTCCTAACTTGCAACAAAAAGCTTACTTCTGATTTTTTAACTTTGTTATTATTAATAGCCTAGCTGGTTAACTAATAAGATTAAACATATCATATGGAAAAATACCTGCCTTTTCCTTGTGAAGGTCTAAATAAATCAAAAATGTGCATAGCTAAATTTGGGGCTCCAGCTCTTACCAGATTTCTTCCAGTCAGAACACTGATCCGAGCAGTCACTCTTGAACAGCAGCTTACTTTGTTTCAGAAGTCTTCTCCTTGTCTTTACCCAGGACTGGATGAGGAAGTATTCCAGCTATAGAACTAATAGAGTATTCTGCAGCTTTGCGTTACTTAGTCACGTTGGCTTCAGCTGTCCTTAGAGCTACAGGCAATTTCCACATGGACCTAAGAGATGAAATAGTTACAGGCATCAGAAACAGGCATGAGAAAACAGTACATCTACCGTGTTATGTGACCAGCCATTTTACCATCTGGATATCAGATTATTTTGTTTATGTTAGTGGTACCATTTTACTTCCATTTGAACTATAATAAATAAAAGAAATGTTCTTAGACTTCCTTAAGTAGCCCAAATCTAGGAATACTTACTTGTATATCTTTAGTCACATGGATATTACTAGTAATGAAGTCATATGCATCTAGTTGCCCACAATCATAAAAGCTAGGCCCTGCTATTGTATTTATTGGCTCAAGTTGCGGCAAGGGAGATTTAGGTTGGATATTAAGAAAAATTTCTTTACTGAGAGGGTTGTCAGACGTTGGAATAGGCTGGCCAGGGAAGTGGTTGAGTCACCATCCCTGGATGTATTCAGAAAGTACGTAGACAAAGTACTCCAGAACATGGTTTAGTGGGCATGGATGATGGTTGGACTCGATCTTGAAGGTCTTTTCCAACCTAAATGATTCTAGGATTCTATTATGTTTAAACGTACTGATTTCCAAAGCTTTCTTGATAAGACTTTCCTACATTATGACGCTGCTTACTGTTATCAAACACAATACAGCAGAATTATTCAGCAACAGTTCAGTGCCTAGACAATGTCCTCACAATGAGGATGTTCTGATTAATAAGCATGGATAGTGTAGTACCCAATAAGCAATATGAAATCTGTTCTCTGAGTGACTTGCTGGTTCAGGAACTGGAAATAAAGTACAGAGCTGCTTCTCCTTAGATCACTATTTCATGTCTAGCCCAGATGAACAGCGACTGAAAGCTCCCTGCTAACTAACTACCTGGTGGCTGTCCTCAGCAAGTGATCTATGCAGAGCAATTTGGCAGTATCAGTCCAATTCCTAAATCACCACTCTGGCAGTGTTTGGCTAGCGTGGAGCCAACTTCCACCGTATGACTGAAAGACCACAGGGACTGAAGTGCTGTCACCCGAAAGGTGTCCCCTTGGGAGAAAGGTCACGACACATTGACACAACGGAGTGTGGGAAGCCATTACTCCATCATCTTGTCTGCGGATGAGGAGAGCGCTGATGCTTGCAGATCTGGTTCCTCTTGTTGGCCTTGTATTTGCACAGACTCAAGAGAAAAAAATAAAGAACTCAATCTGCAGGTGTGCCCTGTGTTATCATTTGTAGCAGTAGGTTTCCTGCTGAAGGAATGCTGTTAACTCTTCAGCTGCCTTTTTCTATTGCAATTTGTAATGGAAACAGAATTGAAATTTTCATGGGCATGCCAGTGAGGAAATATTACACAAATCAGAAGTTTTTATCACAAGGTACCACCTGTCTGGGCAACACCCAATGGGGTAGCTGTTTTTTAACAATCAGAATTTGACCAATTTCCAGCTTGTTTAAAGAGTTCTTTAAATTCTCAGCATGAATTTAAAATCGGTTCTCCAAATTCTCAGTGTCTCTGTTTCTGTAGCCTTAGTTCCACAGTAGCGGTCTCCAAACTCCCAAAGCAGTCTGTTTTATCCCAAGGTCACTGGGTGAAAAGGGTATTTTTCACAATTGCATTACACTGATTTTCCTGGTTCTAGCTTACAGACAAAAAACCGCTGTAAGCCACTGTGCCGTGGTGATGTCAAACTCGGTGAGGAGCTCTGGTGTTTGAGGGGGGAGCAAACATGTTCCAAATAATCAGCAGGAACTGTGAGACAAATCATGCTGTCCTTACTTTCACAAAACCCTCACTGACTTCAGTGGGAGTTTTGCCAAAATAAGGTCTGCTGGATTTAGCTCTGTATTCTTCCTCCTGACAGAACAAGCAGGAATTAAAGGGCCAGCATCAGATTTATAAGACGCAGAGAATAAAAAAGAACTGTAATTATCTAAAGTAATGGCTTTCATCCAAGACAAATCAATGTTCCATTAGACACATCCTAATTTATAACAAAAATTAAATGTGTGTGCAAGTTTTTCTCAGCACAAATAATCAAAACACACAAGTCCTTAGCAATATGGTTTGATTTTTATTAGACATCTAGGAGAGGCTGTCTTGCACAAATCTAGTGCTGAAGTATTTATAGTGTTTATCATTAAAACACAATTTTATGCATTACCTTGTATTTAAAGGCATTATTTATATTTATTATAAAAAAGAAGTATATTTTTACCTTTTTTTTGCATTTCCATTCCTCAGTTTTGAAAAAAAGTGTGGTTTTGCAAATTAAGATACACACAGCCAGCATTTGCTGAATGCCAAGAACTAGAGTTCTTCTGCAAATGGATCTACTCAAGGCACTGTCTATTATACTGTTTCAGTTTAGACTGTCATTACAGAATAACATGTCATTTTTAAGCTTCTAAATTTTATTGCAACCGCTTAAGTTTTAAAAACACTCATTTATAGAATAAGCACTTAATTAGGTCTACTTTTGAAACAGGATAAAACCAAATCCTGCACATTTTGCTAATACCAGAAAAAAATGCAGTTGATAGGAGTATAGAAAATGGGATCTTACCAATTTTCAAAGATAAATTCCTCTCTCTCTCCCTACTTCTTTCCCCTGGAATGGAATAGAAAATATGCCTGGCACTTAGGAAGCAACAACAACAAAACCATAAAGGCATACATCATGTACAAATTATAACCATGTAAGGGAAATAATGAAGGAATTAATTTCACAATTTCTTCTTTATAAGTTTTACAACTGGTTCATACTGAAGAAAACTCCACAAAATTCTTGATCGAGATTTTCTGCAATTAAAATAAAATTTGTGGGGTTTTAATGCTTTTCTTTTACCGGATTACTGTTTTTTAAATAGCAGTTGAATTTCTAGGGTTATAAAATGTGAAGAATTCAGCAGTTTGCTTGGTTTACACTATTGCAGCATTTTCTGGCAAGTAAATTAGTGTTTAAGCATTTCTTTTCAGTTATCACAGAAATCTCAGAGCCATTAGTGCAGAATTACCAAAAGCAAAAGGGGCTGATTAATTTGGGATTCTAAAAACTGAAAATCTAAAAATCAAAAATCACATGAAAATTATGCATTTTGCCTATCAACTGCTATTTAAATGATGCCTTGCTCCAAGACTGCATTCTGTGGACTGCAGCATTCAAAAACTTTGTATTGTGTTAAGTATTTATAAAACATTGTACCCATCTCCCTTATTCCATGCTTTAAAGCATGCCATGTTTTTATAGCATATTAAAAAGAAAACAGAACTCTA